TTCTGATAAAAATACGAACACAATAATCAAAAATCATGGCAACAGACAGTGAAATGACACCTGTCTGTCAGTTGTATAGTGCTCGGTCCCATGCTTCGCTTGATTTGGCCTGAAAACTTTTGAATTTGCATATTTTAGTAGCCGGAAAAGTTCCTTTCATATTTTTCAACCCTCTCCACTGGTTTTTCCCTGACAGTTGCCACAGCACTTTTGCAATACCTTTTGTTTGAGAATGAACAGCGCAGGGACTGACTTTTCCGATTCCATATTGGTGTGGTGGGTAAAGGTGGTGTTGCACCACCTCAGTATTGCATCTAAATGTATTTTACAATATTCTCTCCATTCCCCTCTTGTACAAAACTCCCTGAGTTACTGAGTGTCTATAGAATTATTTTGCGGTATTTGTATGAATTTATTGATTGAGGTTGGCAAGTGAAAATAAGCAAAAGAGCACAACATCGAATATGGTAACTGAAAACATGATAAAATCATAAATATTGAATAGAGGCTACACTGAACCAAACAGCCAACTGAATTATAAATATATAAATAATTATAAATACATAAATCTGTTTAAAAACCAGGCAATGATGATAATACAAACTATATCTTTCCACCAAAACAACGGTCGACCTTTAATTGAAAGTTAGTTTTAAAGTTACGTGATCTGTTTGACACTTTAATAAAATAGGTGTCAAATTTTTTCTTCAGGTATTAGACATTGGCCAAGGACAATAAAAACCACAGTGGTTTGCCAAGTTGCACATGCCAATGGATAAAGCTCATTGAATCATTTCTCAGGAAAATACAGCAAAAACATGAACTACAACAATGGCAATAATAATCAGCATATGCAGCTACGAACAACAATTGACGTTTGACAGAGAAACCTAAATGTGGGGGATGGAATAAAACAAAGCAATACGAATGCATTGGTGAAAAGTTTAACATATATCCTTTACGTCCGTACGCCCCATCACTTCCGAGTTTTCCTCCTTTCCTCTCCTCACTTCTTATCGGTGGCTGTCATAAAAGTGTGGAGCATTTTCAGCTATGTCATCATCAGCAAAAATGATGTGGAAAGGGCAGGGGATTCCCCCGACAACCCTGCACATGCTCACCCTCATATCTTGTCAAGTTTTTTGGTGGGAGGGGGGGATGAGGGGGCGAATGTTTAGAGTCTATAATCTTCAAATAATGGAAAAACTTTTGCTGTTAAGCAAGAGGAATGCCAAAGCTTAGATTTGTCTTTTATTTTGGGTTCTTCATTTTTTCTTTGTTTCTTCTTTTCCCCAACCCCACAACCAAGAGTTTTGATATTTTCGTTATTTTCCTCCATGCAGTTGACAACACTGGAAAGTGTTTTTTCTTGTTGCTGCTCACTCGATTTTCAATTTATTTCATTTGGTGGTTGTGTGGTAGTTTCAATTTTTTCCTCTGAATTTTCTTTCCTTTACTTCTATTTTTTCTGTTGCTTCTTTGAGCGAAAACTTCATCAACTGTTTTGCTTCTACCTGTGGCTTAAAGTCTCCTAGCCAACACCGCATTCGGTATTTTCCCGCCACTCGTTCCATCCCCCTTGAGCAATCAGCATTTTTTTGCCAAGCATTTTTTCCTCTTTCAATTTGTTCCTTTTTTCGTATTTTTGCTGCAAATTAAGTTTGTGTCAAACGAGTGGGGGTGAAATGGGAGCAGAAGCATTTATGCCTTTGTGGCAAGTTAATTTCAATTTTATTGCCAATTGATTGAGATTTGAATGGAATGGAAACTCCAGCTTTTGGCAACGTGTCGCCATTAAGCCATTGGCAAGTGGCATTGGCCCTAAGCTATGGCTGATTAATTTCTCACATTTCGCCGAATGAATCAATTGAAAATTCGACCATTCAAATGTCAACAGCAAAATGCGAATTACAAATGTAACCGCGTTTTATATTTTACACTCTTGTGGTTCTGAATAAAAGTAAGGCAGTGTTTGGAATTGGGATGGCAGCACGATAAACACGATTCCAAAAACTAAGTTAGAAAGTCTTATACATAATATAATATACCATGCTAAATATATTTTGCAGCTTTAAATCCAGTTTTGAATTATTACAAAAAGAGCTAAACGTTTTATCAAAGATTAAAACGTTGCAGTTATTAATATTAAACTTATGAAAGCGCATCTTTTAAAGTAAATTTGAAAATGGTTTACGGTTCAGTCGAGCCCGGAAATAGCAATAACCTTCCAGTTCTTTCTTTTAAATAAACATTTTTTCAAATATATTTTTTTTTTTTAAGCTCTAAAGAATATATTGCAGTGTTTTTCCTCTAAAAATTTGCTCAACTCCGAAATCCATAAAAAGCTAAAAAAAAAGTGCAGGCACTATTTTGAGCAACACAATAGAATGGCATGAAGCTTATGTTTGCCCCTCTCTTCCTTGGAAAAATCGACCTTTATCCACAGCATAATAAAAATCAAGAAAAAAATATTTTAAAAATAAAATGTTAACGAAGCAAGCTTCAAAACAGGGGTCAATTGCGGCAATGGAAAATATCAGAAAAAAGGAAAAGTGGCGAGTATTTCAGGTCATGGAACAGCAAGCTTTTATATATTTTTTTTAATTTTCGAAGGTCTTTTAGGAAAGCTAATAAACTCTTGATAATGATAAGCAAGTTGAAAATAATAATAAAAACCAAGTAAAATGACAAAAAATCTGGTAAAAGCAATTTGCAGCATGGCTTATCCCGTCAGCCACAAAAATGATAAAAGGCAAAAAACAATTTGGCAAATTTTCACATTTGTGCTGGCATTAATTTCACATTGCGAGTTCCAATAAGCCAACAATCAATGCAATCGTTGGCATTTTCACATTCTGTATGTTGGTGGCGGGGGAAAAACCGAATTAAATTTCCCTGAAAGGTCTCAGCTGAGATAAAAAACTGAAAATGCAATCAATTTGTGTTGCGTGGGTGCCGCGAGTCACCAAATCGCTGCATCATCTGCACTTGGCTGCAGTTTTATTGGCCTTCGCCATCCGTTTTCTGGCCACGCTGACATGTCTTCTCGCCCAATCCCGAACCCCTGTTTCTGTGGTAAGTTCTGTTTGAGATTGCACCTGCATGCATATCCGTTGCAGGCCCCAAATGCCCCAGCCCCAGTCCATTTTCCATTTTCCATTGCGCTTTTCCCCGCCGCCATCGTGGTCATCATCGGCGGCATCGTTGCATATTCATACGCCCCATTGTTGCCATGCAGTTGATGCGGGCGAGCTGATTTTTATGTGGCTGACCAGGCAGCAGGCATACAGCAGTTTTGGTCCGTTTGGCCATTTTCTGTTTGGTTTTTATGGTCTCAGCGAGCGAAACGAAAAAAGGGACATCAAACCGGTCAATTATACCGGAGATTAGACAACAAGCAAATGCTCTTTTGGAAAAGAAATACCGAACTTAAAGCAAATTCAATTTGATCCCTTTGTCTACGATCCGATTTCTCTACTGCAGGGTAAACTAAAAGTTGAAAAGATGAGAAAACTTAAAAAAAATTTTGATTATATATTTTATAAATTATATGGCTAGACACAACAAATTGAAAATTGTTGAAGTAAGCAACGCTAAAATAAATTATAAATTATATTATTATTTTGTATTATATTATATTATATTAAATGTAAAGTCTACACAAATATTTGATATTTATTTTAATTTATTAATAACTAATTATAATTATTTGAATAAATTTAGTTCGTTTCAATGGAATTTACAAAACTTATGATTTATGGGGATACATTGCGTAAAGCTAGATATCGTTAACTTAATTTCTAAGCCATGTTTTATAAGTGAGAATCTAGGAAAGTTTACAAGCAGATATGTCCCTGCCGAGATACTTGATTACGAAATTGTAGACCCCTACCGACATCAATCATACCTGTGCCAAATAGAGCATTCGAATGGCTCTCGCTCCGTTAGCGGGATATTATGGCCTGGCCAAATGGTTGGATGTGGATGGCTTTGATGGCAGTGGGCAATGAGAGCGCCTGCGTGTGTCACGTTTAAAATATGCGCATTTTTGCAAATGACATTTCAGTCGCACCGCACTATCACTAATTGATATCATATGATGGAATTTATGCACAGACACCAACCGCCCAGCGATGTCAGTCGGCAAAGGACTTTCATCCTCCCGATCGGTAATCGGTGCTCGGTGCTCGGTCCTTTTCATGATTGTTGGAATGGCGGTTGCCGGGGGCGGTGAAATTGTCGGGTTCATTTCTACCCTTTATTGTTGCTGTTGTTGGTCGATTGCCGTTTCGCTTTTTGCGGTTTGTCGTCGCGTCAGGACGTCATGTGCCCCTGTCCGTTGGCCGTTGTCCTGAGTCCTGAGTCCCGAGTCCTGTGTCCGTTGTCCTGAATCCTGAATGCTGTCTGCTGCCTGAGGTTGGCCGCTCTGCGGTGCCGAGACTGCGGCCCGATCATTCATTTGTCAAGTTGTCAGGATACGGTTCGGCAGCCGACAGTCGGCGAGATATGCTGCCGTTGACATCAAGTGCGCCATTTAGATTTCACAGCTACCCAATGTCGCTTTTTTTTGCTTAATCTGCACTTAAAAAATAAAACTTACCAGAAAAGATAAAGGTTTTTAAGTCAAGCAAAAACTAGTTTCACAGTAGGGGTAAGTATTTAAATAGGTTCCTAGATAAAATAAGTGTGCCAGTCAATAATTCGGTCTTTTCAGTTCAGTTAGTGTCTTAAGCCCCATCATCAATACATCAAAGTCAATGCCAAAATAACAAATCTGCCATACAAATTTTTTGCGAAGGTACGTTTCACTTAATTTAAAATATTTGATTTGTTCTGAGATTAGATTATGATAAATATAAATTAATATATTATATTTTTACCATGTTGGAAAAAGACAAATTAAATTCAATCAAAGCTAAATCGAAAAATAGCTGAACTTTAAATATTTGTACATCAAGCTATCTAACTTCTAGAAATATTTCACTTCATATATAAAATTTCGTCAGTTAAGGTCGTACAAAATTCCTACAAAAAAAAAGTACAAAAAAATCTAAAGAAATGGATTTCGGCAGTACAATCAACCAGGAAGATCGTATTCCATTCATTGACCGTTTGGAGGAGTGGACCAGATCCGGTGAAACAAAGTCCGGTGAAATGGGTCGCATATTGGCCATTCTCTTGACCATGGTAATAATCTGCTATGCCATCGTCGTCTTGGCTCGCATTTTGGTGACCCTGACATTGCCCATCTTGGTTATTGCGACCCTTTTATTGGCTTACCGCTTTGTCAGCCTTACGGAATTGGAAGATGGTCTGAAAGAGGTGCCCGATTTGCTAACTTCGTTTACGAACTTTGTAGCTAACATACTTTTGTAAGGCGACTTTACAATAGAATGCCTTGGCGCACGTGGTGTTCGTAAAATATGTTGAAGAATATTTGGAAGTTTTAAATGGCATGGACGTATAAGAGGCAAATAGTGTAATACGATCTATTAAGAAAAAAAAAGAAAGAATAAATTTTAAAATGTGTACAATTTTCCTATTAAAATCGTAATAAAATATTTGTATAATTTATAAACAAAAAAACCAACAAAATAATAACATACAAATAAATTTATTTCATCTTTTGCTAGGTAACTTTACGCAGATTGGATGCAACTTGATACTATCGTATGTGCAAGAGGACAGCAGTCCTAAAACGAGCTCTAAAATGTCCCAACATCATTGCAGTCTATAACACTGGCCCATTACTTATTTATAGTCCCAACGTTGTTCACATATCGATAACCAAGTTTGCCATCAACATTCCTGTCAGGACATTTAAAGGCCTAACAACCAGACAATGAGTGGGGCAGAGAGACAGCTACAGGACTGAAGTTGCAGCACAGACAGAATCCATGTTTATGTCCTGGCCGGGCAGCAAAAATGGCAAAATGCAGCCCGATTCCCGTGCCCCTTTCCCCGATTTACACACCCACACCCACACCCCCCATTGGAATAGTTGGCTTTCCTCCGTGTGCGACTGTGTGGGCCAAGTTTTGTCTCGTTGTTTTCACCATTGACCGTGACGCTCGTTTCGTCGGCGCGGATGCGAACTTTGTTGCTATTTTAGCAACTATCCCCCCTTTTTGCCCGGGTCCAACTATGAATACGTGCGTTGTCTGCTACCTGACGGTTGACTTTCTTCCTCTAATGAAATGCGGTTACAAATGCAATTTTACATTTTTCACAAAAAGCATTTTATCTGTCGACGCCAGGCGCAGACCGAAAACGCAGACTCCAAACTCCGGAAAGCGACTACGAAGTTCTATACACTCCAAGAAAATATCACAAATTGAGGTAGAATTTTTAAATGTACTATTACTTATTATAGTTCAACAAATTAATTTTTTAAATAATTATTTATAGTGATCTATACATAGGGGTTTTGGCATAGAAAATGAATAACATTGTGGCTTGTTGTAAAAGTGAATTATTAAATAATGATCATTGAGCAGATCATAATCATAATATCATAGCCCACTACATATCTCTTCGGAACCTAATAAGTAGGGGAGATGGCAAATGACACTATACTTTAAAGAAAGTGTAAGAGGAAAAAACTTATATAAACAAAGCCAAACATAATTGAAGAATTTTTTGAAATGTACTCCTGGCAAAAGCACACGAAACCAGGCAGTAGTCAGTGCACGTGACATCCATGTGTCGCTGTCCCCTTTTCCAGTGGGTGGGGATTTCCTCCATTGTGCTTGTGTTCCGAGCGTGTTCCTGTTCGGGCCAGAGTCCCCCAGCTCGGCCCTTGGTTGCCACCTCCACTAGCCGACCAGTCGTCAGCTTGTTTGCACCTTGTCGAAATTAGTGTTTGTACCGAAATGAACACGATTTGTTTGACCAGCAGGTGTTGAAAATACACTGTGCTCCATGGTCGAGTTGGTTGTCGGTGTCCTCCGCCCTGACTTCCTTTTTATCACCCATCTGCTTCGCTTTGCCGTGTCATACGCGGCGTATGGGTAATGTTTTTCAAATTGTTGCGGTCAGTTTGAGAGACATTTGGTCGGAATTGCTCTGTTTTGTTTCGGATTCTATGCTGGCAGCGGTTTCACATGGATGTTGTGTTGTACCATTTTATAAACATCATGCACACTTTGTTATTTGGCTTGTACAGTTTGTATATTCATGTATGACCACTGAGTTGTCTGCCAATGCCACAGGGTTTCTGCCTCAAGCTATTTTTAAACAACATTGTTGTCACATCATTTATTAAATAGCTCTTAGTTTTATAATCCCCATTTTAAATGTAGTATTAAAAAAGCTTCTGCATATATTTAACTAAGAATGAACATTTTCTATTATTTTTGAAGCCCCATATTACATCTTGAGACATCAAATTGACTCTTTTTAATTTAGTTTTTGAAGATGTGCTTGTAAGATTTCAAAGACATATTTTCCCAAACAGCTGAAATAAACGTACATACATCCAAAAGGTTACATATTAATGTGCAACATCATTTTTCCATCAAAAAGCTGAAGTGCGGCCAAAATATGTCAGACTGCAAATCAAAATGGCAGACAGCACTGACAAATAAACAGTCACTCAGCCAGAATAGTGCAGCAGATGGAGAGACATTCCAGACAGAAGGACATTTAGACTGGCAGACAGATGCCGCTGATTGCCGTAAGGATTGCGTTTCAATGCCAAAAATTGGGAAGGTAAGTAAGTGCAGCATAGGCCGCCGCCTGTCGCAAATGAATGGATGGATGGGATGCGAGTGTATCCCGGCAAACTCATTAACAAGTTGGCACATAAAGGCCCAACAACTATTCGGCGGTAACCGAAAGAAGTCAATGCCTTGGCGACAAGCTGCCGCATCAGCAGCCGCAACTAATGGCTGCCAGACTTGTGTCGGTTTAGGAGTTCGGTCCTCCGACTTCCTTCGACTTCTCAAAGTTCTTTTTAGACAAGGCAAGGCCAAGGCAAATACTTGGCGGCTGTGTGCAAGTTTTATTAAAAGCCAACAGTCGGCGACATCTTGCAAGCGGTTGGCCAAAGTTGAAGGTTTGGGCGGAGGGATACGGTTTGATAAATACAGCCAAAATTATTTTGTTTGAAAGTACAGAGAAGATCCTCAAAACTCGACTTTATATGATTTTTTTTTCCTTTTTGTGATTAATATTCAAAGAAGTAAAAGCAAAATAATGTTAAACCACTGGCTTGTATACTTGATTCTAAACTAATAAAAGTGACAATAAAAGAAATTTGTATTAATTTGTTTGAAAGTTTTATTATAAATGAAAAGTATACATAACTACTTTAAATTTCAATTAAAATAATGTAGTTTGATGGTGAAAACATGACCGTTTTATTGTCACCCAGTACCTTCTGGTTATCTTAGAAGCCATGAATTTTCAGTTCCCAATCGTATAAATATTAATCATTCATAGCCAATGACCACTTTACTAGCAATTCAAGAGGCAAGTACCGCGAAAATGATGGCTCACATGTGTTGCCAGTCGCAAACTAGTCATTGGAACTGCGGATTTCTGGGGCGACGACGGCAGTCGAAGAACAGACGTAGGAAGTTGGGATTCACTTTGCCAAGATGGAGTTCCAAGTCGAAATTATCAGCGGGATGGTCTGACTTCCTCCTCCTCTAAGTGTGCAAATGGTCCTCGCAGCAGGCCGAATGGGTGGCATAGCAGCGACATTGGCCAGTGGGGCAGCAACACTGCCTCAAAATAGTAGTGCTATAGGGAAAGACGATGATCTTCCACTGATTGCCAAGCTCGAGGGTCTCGTAGTGATAGCCCCGCTTGTAGATCACCATGGGCATGTGCTCCATATAGTACGTCATTATCTCCATTAGACAGGCATCCATGCAGTTCACAAAGAACTGCACACACTTGATGAGTTCGGCCAAAATATAGACACTCGAAATGCCCTCGTCAAAGAAATAAACCGCATCGAACTTTGGGGTCTCCTTGCCAAAGATATGCGCCACCTGCTGCATCGTTTGAAAGGAATGCATAGTTGTGGTCCCCGAAGGTCCACTCGGGAAGAACAAATGGGTAACATCATCCGTGAGCAAAATGGGACTGGCACAGGGCGGAGCATCGGCCGGATCGGCCAGAACATATTTCACCCGTCGTGGTCCGTATTTCAGCTCCTCGACGGCTCGCAAATAATTCGGATGATTGGCCACATGCGGTTTCAGCTGCCGGAAGCGACTGCGCAGCATCTCAATGAACTCCTCCTTGATCGAATGATGCACTGCCACCGTGGCCATGGGGAAGGGCTGGAATGGCTCGTGCATAAACTCCGCCAAACAATAGGCAGCCGTATTCAGATCCCCGTCCTTGCAAACGCACATAAAACGGGCTCCCGGCCAAGTTCTCGTCTTTCTCATGTCGTGCCTCTAAACGGTATTGAATATGTAGTAGGAATATGGAAATCTGATTAAATAGTTATTTCTCTCAGTGCTTACTATCCTTGGACCACGTTTGGTACACTTCAGATTGTGCACGAGATCATGTGACACAAAATTTGACTTGGGCTCACACATATTTCACAAGTTTAAACACAATCAAAGTCCGTTTGATCTCACAGAAAATTTATTTTGTAATGAATTAAATTGACAGTTGAAGAATGGAGAATCTTAAAAGGAAAAATTCCTTTATTTTTTAACGATATAATTTCAATTTTTAAAACCCATTTACACATCCTTAAGAACCAATTGTTATTTGCTTATATTTGTTAGAAAATATATCATATAGAAAAAAAATGCCTAGAATAAATTAATATTATTAAACTTACTCATTCGTTGAACTAACTAATAGCCAATCAATTTCAATTCGAGATTTTGTTTTAGAGTGCCTCAATTAAATACTCCAAAAATAGAAATCAAACTCGTATTTAAGCTCCGAATTTAATATGCAAAATCTTTGAAGCCTCCCAAATTGAGCAATCAAAAGTTCTGGGAAATTAACTCCCAAAGCTGGGAGCTTCCACACTTTGGGCTGCCTGCTTTTGGGCAAAGTCAAGTCCCTTTCCTCATATGAATATCGCATACTCACTTATGCCGCAAAGTTAATGGAACCAGGGAAAGGCAAGATTTACATAGAATAAAGCAGAATTTTCACCAGCACACACAAACAACTAACGAAAACAAATCAAGCGCAAAGTAAACCCAGTCGAGAAAAAATAACATTTTGCCGCGATAAGAAACTTGCTCAGACTTTCCACAAGGAGTGCAGTGGCGACTGGGGCAGGCAAATAGAGTGAGGCTGCAAGGATCTGCGGCAACAAAGACAATGCTAATGCCATTTGCTCAAGTGCCTGCCGTCAACAGAGGCAAAGTTGTGTCATATAAAGTCTAAACAAAGGTAATAAACAAGTTTGACTTTGTTTTTATACTCTTTCAATGGGGATTTTAATTTTATACATATGTACATCATTACCGAACATGAAAGAAAGTTTCTTAGCTGATAGTATAGATTTTATTAATTGCTCATACAATTTTTCAATTTTTCAAAATTTCTATATTGAATATAATGAATAATTTAACTTCTACAATGAGCTCAGACTTTTTCATTATGATAAATATATTATTATAAATTTATTTAAGTTCTACGAGATTGCCTTTAATTTACGACATAACTCAAAAGACTTTCTAATTACCAAATTCTTCAATTAATATTCACTTCATAAAGATTTCTCACATTTTACATTTTTTTAGCTTTGTATTTTTTTTATCAAGTTTATCGAAATTTGCCTCTTTAAGAGTATACAAAAGTCTTTAATACTATCAAACTTGTTTACTTTTCCTACGCCCTCTTCCTTTTTTGATCACCATGGTGGGCGTGGCACTGCCAAGCAGTAAAGCAAATAAAGTCTCAAAATCGCATCTCTGGAACACTTGCAACCAGCCATAAAGGAGATTTATAAAACAACAACAACAGAAATATTATATTTACAACACAAAGAACGTTTATTTTTTGAATTATATTAGAGTACAAGCTAAACAAAAAATGAATAAACAAATAAAGCTGTAATATTCAACTGAATGCAATGAAAATTAAATTACTAATTTGTTTTGCGGTTGATTTGTTTACTGACTAGAAAATGAACAGTAGCATGCACAGTTACAACTACAGTGCTTGTCAAATATATTATTATACATATATACTCAATTCAAATATCCATAATTTGGTGGACAAATTCTATTCATGCTTTAAGCTAAAAACAAATTTAGGAAATATTACATAAATTTAAAATAGCTTTTAAACAAATTTTGTGACAGGTATTGGAGAATTGTAAGGCTCTCACAACATAAGTCTTTTCAGCAATACCTATTGTATATTTTTAGAAGTAAAAATAATATAATTTACTACTTTAGCCCATTTTTACAGTCCACCACTGTTTGCCCAGCCAATTGAGGCGTGTCAGTCTAAAAAGAGAGCTCGCGTTGATTTACTAAATTTACTAAAAACATCCGTCGCAGCTAGTCAACTGCCATGGCCCATTCAATTATTCATTTTGCATGCAATTCCGAATTTGAATTTCATTTATGCAACGTTTTAATTAAATTTTTTGCTTCTTTTGCAGCTCTAACCGCACTCACACCCCCAAAAATTCACACGCACACACACACATACATCTACAGCAACGGCAGCAGCTGCCGCTTAAAGCCACAAAAATTACGCATACGCACTGTATTTATTAAATTAAAAAAGTTGACACGGCTAGAGCAGCTGGGGGAAAAAGTTGTTCGACTTTTTGGATTTCGGTTTAAACATTTGAAAATTTAATTTTGGTTTTCCTAGTTGTTTTTGCTGTTGCAGATGAGGTGTAATTTGAAAAATGTTTGACAAAATGACAGCGGCAGTGATTTCGAAATGCTATCTGCTTTCCTAAATGCGATTTACATTTGCCAGCGAAGGTCAAACACAATTACCCAGCTATATCCATAAGCCTAAACATTTTAGTGTACACGCAGAAAAAAATGTAGGGAATAATGGAAATGTTAATAATTAACAAGTAAACGAAAACTTATGATTGGAATTGGGTATTTCTTAAGCAGTCCAATTGCCAAATTATATATTATTATTACTTATCTACAAAATAATAAAAGTCTTTTTCAAGTGTTGGCACTTATCGAGGGGCACTCGGTTTTTGGCTGCAAATCCAGCCAAATAAAATATGAAAATGCTGGTGCCAGGCATTAAACGCTATGAAAATCGTATGGCCCGGCCAAACGCCCCTCTGCCCCAGCCAGTGGGCGTGGCAGGATTGCAGGATGGCTGGCTGGTGGCCGGGAATTGGGAATCGGGAAGTGCAAATAACTGTTGCCAAACATTTTCAACGAAAATGTTCGCATTGCATACATTTGGGGGATATGTTTGGGAGCCAGGAGGAGTGGTGGTGCTGTAGTAGTGCCTGCCTGCTTGTAGCAATGCATGCAAACAAGATTTAACGATAAAATTTTAATTAGTGCATAAATGGGCGCCTGATTGTGTGGGCGTGGTCGCATAGAGAGCAAGACATGTTGGCCATATTCGAGAACGAGCAGCAGTATGCTCTTATGCCGGGAACACGGGCCAGAGACCCAGAGCCAGACACATTGCGGCTTTGGCACTTTTGTGCTTCTATTTGCCAACGCACAGGCATGGAGGCATCGGGATCCGCATCAGAGGACAGGGATGAGGTGGAGGGCAGTGGGTACTCCCCGGCTGAAATTAAGAAATTTTGTACCACTGCCATGTGCCGTGTTTGCATTGCCATCGATGCGTAACTTTGCGCTGCAAGAGTGTCGCGTCGATAAGCGTTAATTTTAAACTTGCCATGGAAATACAGGCGCCGGAACTCCGAAAGTTATATTCAAGAGGAAAATGCACGGCATGGTGTTGAATATATCAGCAAAAATACGTAGTTTTGTGTGAAATTTAAGCAAAGGGTTTAAAATTAAATGCAATAAATTTGTACATTCACATTTATAACAAAAAGTAGCAACCTCCTTAATAATAATCTACAAAAAAAGAAGCAATTAACAAATTTGTTAGGGATGATAATATAGATTTGTTGCTAATGTCAATGCTTACCCAGAACCTTAATGAAAATTCTACAAGGTGCTGGACGTAAAATTTCCATTTTTGTGTGAATATTGTATTCACTAACATAGAATATAAAAAATGTTCCTTTACGAAAAAATAAAAAAAATAAACATAGAAGCTATACACAAAGTGAACACGATGAGGCGCAACATACCGCTGGGTACTAACTTTATTCAATATTGTAGCTTTTCGCCATGGCGCCTTGGCTCGTCTGCTTTTATTTATTTCAAGTTTTACCTTTTTCTATCTTTTTTTTGCTTCATTTTTAGTGTTACTTGCCTTGGTTTTTTTTACAGCTCACCTCGATGGCTGCTCGACATGCACTTTGCATACATTTTGCTTTTACGATCTGACGCTGCGTTTAAATATTTAGTAGATAGTAAACTATGCGCCATCCATGTACTTCTCTGTGTGGTGATGTGCGTGTGCCTGTTGAAATATTTATTAAAATAACCAAAGGCATGCAAAAGATGTTGCTTCAAGACATCCAGTGATTGAACTTCAGCTGGCAGAAATATCGTTGAAATATCTGAAACAGTGACTTTTAAAGGGTTTCTAACAATACGTTATAAGTCATTCAACCAAAAGCGGAATTGAAAATAATAAAAAATGTATAGGCCGATTTTTATACCAAAATTTATTAAAAATCAATTACATCTAATCTACCTTCTATTGTGACTATTTAGAGGTACTTAAATTTAATTTCTCTTCCATAAACTAAAGCTTAAAGATGATTGCCATAAAATATTGTTGTCAAAAATACACTTAATTCAAATGATGTTACTGTATAAGCTGTTGAAAAAGTGATTTATAGCAAATCAATTCACAACTGAAAGCCAAAACATTTCTAAATCAAATCACAGTGACCACTTTGTGGCATCACTAATCAATCCGACCTCAGCTCTCGAAAATGCTCTCTGGCTTTTCGCACGCAACCGATATTCGGCCGGATGGCCAAAATACAGAATTTATGTTTTAATTAAAATATGTAAATGCGCCAAATCGTGTAGAATGCTCTGTCAAGTGCCGCCCGCCCAAATTCGGCGAGGCAAAATCAGCCAAAAACATTTCACACATTCACCAATAATGCGATTGCCGCAAAAATGAAGAGCAATTCTGCGATGCGCGTGAGTTTGTGCACTATACAAATTTGCAAATGTGTGGCGCTTGGTCGAAAACTACGAACCACGAAACAATTTAGTTTATTTGCTTCTAATTGCAAACAACAGTTGTCTGATTTCTTTGCATATATACCAGTACATATACTATGTTTTTGTATTTTCCCTCTCTATCGGACTAACGAATTTATTTTGGACAGCGAAAGTGGCAATTTTTGATATTTTAGGTTGTGCAGTCAAGGCTAAAAACCGGGCTGATGGAAAAATCCATTGAATTTCACTCAAAACTTTCAACTATTTCGCTTCAAATAGGAAAAGTTTAACTTCAATTCACTCGTTCACCCTTGACCAGAACCCAATTTGGAGTCACAAAAGTTCACTGCCCCATTATTATGCATGCTTCAGTGGTATTCAACGTTTGCGCTAAGCCCAAACTCAAGCGGCAACATGACCAATAAATTCGCCAAGATGTCCATTTTTATTTATTTTCGCATTTCAAGTGTTTAGTTTACGCTTGAGAAAATCGCCATTTTCTCAACTTTATTGTGAAGGAAAATGTATATATGCAACTGCAGGCAACATGTGCCCAGGAATCCTGGGATAAAGACCAAAGTCCAGGCCCTGTGAAAGAGAGAAAAAAATACTCAACTCAAGTCGACTCTGTCATTGCCATTTCAATTTCCGTTTGAATTTTGCACTTCATTTCGCAAGTTCGCAATTTTCTTCAGAAAAAATCCAGTCCGAAAAAAAAACGGAAAAAACGGAGAACAGAAGGCAATGCAAATACGAAAGTGTATAAACAAAACAAAACGAGCATACACTCAGGATGAAGGAGAAGATGACAATAAATTTTCACAGAGGGAAAAAGGAGAGAAGGAAAAATTGTAAACACGAACAGCTCTCCATGATAATGATGGAAAATCATGGGGCCCAAGCGAGAGACAATTGCACGTAACAGTGACTGGCACATCTTCTGTTTTCCAGCCCAGCCCCCAAAAATCCCTACCACTCACACTTAAAGAAAAAATGGAAAGAATGTGAGAAATACTTGCCTAAAAAAATGGTTTACATATTTTGAAGTATTTGGTATTTGGTAAAATATTTTTTGAAAACTAAATTTACTTAGTTTGATTTTGTTAAAATAATAACTGAAATAATATATTAAAAATGTATAGAAAACATATTTGCAATTTAGTTACCTAATGTACATTATTTAATTAAATGTATATGATTTTATAATATGATATTTGTTAATTTTCAGATTTTTGGATGTTTCTTATGATGTCTCTGATTATTTTGACTTCTACGAAATTAATCTTATGTGCGGCGAAAAGTTTCTGAAAAAATATTTTTAATTTTCTTTTATTTTGGCAACTAGTTTTTCCATTAAATAAATATTTCTTGCTTAGGAAAATAGAAGATCCTAATTGCAAAACAATTTTTGTAAGTGCACTGGCATTGCCATTGCCTGCTGTTTATTTGTTTGACAAATAACGAGGCAAGCCCATAATGAAGGAGGTGCAAATGATGTTGGCATTGTTTATTCGACTGCGAAATGTAATAGGCGCCTTCAAGGAGCAGGACCAGAAGCATCCAGCTGGGCGGGGTCGTGACTCCCAGATTTGCGTTACGGTTTTTTATGGCTGATTTGACGGGAAACGGAAACGCGAAATTGCAAAAGCGCAATAAAGTGTAGCATAAACAAAGGCGCCCACACCGAAGGAAACCGGCTGCCAGATGGAAATATATATATATATATATATACAGAGCGGATGAGAAAACACGGAATGTTTCAACTTGAAAGTAAATTTGTTTGCCATGTTGTTGGTGTTTGGCATTATGCTTTATCTTGTTTTATTGTACGCAACGAACAGATTGTTCTTCATCTTTTATCCGCAATTTTATTTTCAATTGTTTTCGGCGGCGAGTTTTTTTTTAGATTTTAGTAAGCGTTACTTGCGGTTGTGATATACAAACCATTTTGACTACGCCTGAACCACACTATTTTTTTTTGTAAATATGGATTATTCTTTAGTAATCCGAATAATTTAAACTAACTGAAGTGTTTATAAAAGAATGCAAATTTTGAAGTTTAATGCTTGTCAGATTAATTGTGGTATTTATTTTTAAGTAAAACCAGTTATGTGATGTTTCTACTTAGCATTGATTTAAAAAATCATCTGTAATGTTAAGCAATATTTACTATTTTAAAATGCTTTGCTCAACACGGATTGTTGTTATTTCCCCTTGTTTTTCCACTTGATGGCATTCGAATTTGCTCTGGAATAACAAAATTCTTTAGTCATGTCTATCACTCGAATTCGAATGTGTGAGCCATTATGCAGTGTCAGCAAAGTTGAAGAAAAATAAGAGAATTTCCAAAGCATTCTAGGCGTCTAGATTGACGCATGCATTTCAGGCTGGAGGCAGCCTGCATATTTATGATTCGTGTGCGTCTTATAAATAAAGAAAATGGCAAAATGAAAATGCAAATGCAAAAACATAAGGACTGTGGAACTGTGTCAACAATGCGTGCCATAAGTCTACCTTCATTTCCAAGTTGTGTGCCACAATCCGACCAAAGTCTTCTTACAGCATTTGCATGCAATAAACATTTGGGAAAATAACGAGCAGCAAATACTCTTGACCTCTTAGCTATTAAAACACACAACCTGACAGAAACCAATTTATTTAAGTATTTTTTTTTTAGTAATTAAAATTCAAATAAAAAATTGGTAAAGAAACTATTTACACAGTGTTACTTTGATGTTTTTACATTGTGTTCGGGTTCCAAAATGTTCCTCCCCGTCAGCGTTTTTGAAAAAATGTAGCCAATGTTGGAAAAATTATGATTTTATAATTTTTGATGCATTTTTTTTTCAATAAATTTTCCAACTTCTTTATTTATTTCCGAGCAACTTTTTTAACGGAGTTATCAGCAAGGGAATGGGACTACATGATAAATAGAGTATTTGCTGACATCAGCAGGACAAGTGAAGAAGGCATCAGCAGAATTAAGGGTGGCCGTTCTGCCGGATCAACAGTTGGTTGCTGCTCACAGTCACAGTTAAGGGTAAGGATAAGGGATAGAGTTACACTCACAGATCCTGGAGGGTGCCTGTTGAAAGCAGTGAGGCATGGTCGAACTGCTTTATCGACGCTATGTAGGTTGCCAAGCGACCGTAACCAAGCGTTCCAAGCTGAAAACAGAAAACAGAAAACGCAAAACACAAGACCAAAACACTGAGGAGCCAGCAAGGCGTAAGGAGTGAAAATCCCGGGAAAAAGAAAAGACTCTGAAAAGATGGTAAGAAATGTGGCTGAAAAAATGTTGTCAAATACTCCGGAGATACTTATGCCCTTGCCCAGATACTTTCACGCGGAAAAACCGACTCGGCGAGCTCGAGGAACGCCAGCGGAGGACCTGGCAGTGGACTCGGAGTCGGCAGGCAGGCGAGGAAGGCCCCGGCACCGGCCTCCCTGGAGGATTTCATCATCAAGCGGGACTACACGGGTGCCAGAGCATTCCTGGAGGTGCGTAAGGATTATTATGGCAGAGTGTTGCATTAAATTTGGTAAACAGTTGCAGAGAAATCCTAAAACTAGGTTGGATTTAGTTCTTCAAAATTAGCCTACTTAATATTGTGATTTAACGTTTCGCTACACAATTGCATGCCTTTCAGCTCAAAGAACTTGATTATTAGAGTTCACTGTTTCCCAGTCACGGTATCTTTTATTGTGGCCTTACTCGATTTATAGTTAGTGGTTATTTTTATTTAGATGGTTTTTAACTTAGCATCATTTTTATGACCACACGAAAAATTGTATAACGCTGATAACTGGTTTGGTATATGAGAAAGAAAAAAACACCATAAACATAAAAACTTAAAACCAATTTTTTTATTAAATTAACTTCTAAAGCAACAGAGCTGTTCTCCACCATCCGCACAATAAGTTATTCAGCTCGGTTTCGGGTTTGTGGAAATTACTTAGCGAAAGCGAAAGTTATTTATCTAAAACTAGCTTCGAAAGTAAATCATCGACAGGAACTGCAGGGGCATCTTCAGGGAATTGATCTTTGAAATTAAGACAAAGTTCTGTATCACTTGTTTCATCGAGACATTTGAGAAATGAAGGGGATTCAGGATCCGCCTTAACGACAACAACTAACGCGATTAGTATGAACACAAACAGAGCAAAGAACTTCATGGTAGGAGATCACTATGCAATCTGACTGTATGCCAGCTTCTTTTATACCAGTTTTGTAGACGCTGCTGTTGGCCTAGACTCGTTTTTGAATTTCTTATTAATTAATGACGCGTATAATTTTGCATCTTTTAGTCCGAATACATTAATCGACTTACGTTTTCGATAGCAAGCATTCATTTCTGAAATATTTCTCATCAAACGCCTACTGAAAAACCTGACAGTTTTAAATTAAATCCATGATATTTAACTCTTAAGGGTCAAAGACATTTAAGCATTGTTCACTGATAATTGCTTTTGTGCTACCACATAGCATAATATTAGTTATACCAAATACAAACTTGCTTATGAATGCTCAAATCGACCTGTTTTATATCTGCAGTTGCCCCAGACTTGTTTTTTGATTAGCTAATTTTTGCATTTAACTTTTCGATTTTTATTATACCCAGCTTTTATTAGTCACTATTAGATAAGTGACGTACAATTTTGTGATTATAATCAGTCATAAATAATAATAAATAAAATGATGGTAAAAAGAAGATAGTTGTCATTTCTTAAGTTATTGTAACAAATGTCTTTGTTTATTGGAGCAAAGCTTTAATTAGGCACATCATATTTTTAAATTTGTTTGTACCTAACTTTAATAATAATAAAAACGATTGAGAACCTATATATTTTTGTAATAAATGAAATTCTATTAATCAAGTATGAATACTACTAAACTTTTCCTATACCAACATTCACATATTTTAAATATCTTATTTAAATATCTTATTTGGTTATCCATTATAGTACGCCAACGATGATGAGGACGAGGAGGAGGGTGCTCATGGACCCAAGCAGAGTCAGGTGGATCAGTGGATTGCCTTTTGCAATTTCCATCTGGGTGACTACCACCAGGCACTCGCTCAGTACAAGAGCATTCATCAGAGTTCCCCGAGTGCCGATGGCAAAGTGGATCTTAACCTGGCCGTCTGCATGTTCTACTTGGGCCTGTACGAGGAGGCCCAGCAACTGATGGCCAATGCGGCTGACAACCCGTTGAAGCAGCGACTTCTCTTCCACTTGGCCCACAAATTGGGAAACGAGGAGGAGTGGAGCCAGTTGCAGGAGGAGCTGCAGGACTCTTCGAGTTTGGAGCAACAACTCAGCCTGGCCTCCATGCACTATATGCGGGCCCATTACCAGGAGGCCATCGATGTGTACAAGCGGGTTTTGGTGGACAACAAGGACTACCAGGCCATAAACGTGTACTTGGCCTTGTGTTTCTATAAGCTGGACTATTACGACATGTCCCAGGAGGTGCTGGACGTCTATCTCAGTCAGCATGGTGACAGCACCATTGCCATAAACCTAAAGGCCTGCAATCGTTTTCGGTTGTTCAACGGTCGAGTTGCTGAACAGGAAATCAAGAACATAGCCGATAATGGCACTTTTGGTGCGGATCTTCTGCGCCACAACCTGGTGGTTTTCCGGAATGGCGAAGGAGCTCTACGTGTCCTGCCGGGACTACTTAATATCATTCCGGAGGCTCGTTTGAATCTGGCTATATACTATCTCAAGCAAGGAGATGTCCAGGAGGCACATGCTCTGATGAAGGAATTGCAGCCCACATCGCCGCATGAGTACATTCTCAAAGGTGTGGTGCACGCTGCACTGGGGCAACAACTGGGATCGGTAAGCAAATAGATTTGCTGCCCTATAATAAATATATTTATGAAATTGATTAAATTTTTAAAATTTCCTATAAATGCTTCCAGAAAGAGCACATCAAGACAGCCCAGCAGAACCTTCACTTAGTGGGAAGTTCGGCCACAGAATGTGATACAATTCCGGGTCGTCAGAGTATGGCATCGGCATTTTTCCTCTACGAACAGTTTGAGGAGGTGCTGGTGTACATGAACTCCATTCGCAGTTACTTTGTGAACGACGATGTGTTCAACTACAACTTTGCCCAGGCGAAATGCGCCACGGGATATTACAAGGAGGCGGAGGAGCTGCTAATGCAGATCTCTGATATGGACATAAAGAATCAGCACACCTACTGCATGATCCTGGCCAAGTGTCACATTCACTGCGGTCATCCGGAGTTGGCATGGAATGTGTTCATCACGAGGGACACAAATGCAGAGGCGTTTATCCTGCTGCAATTGATTGCCAATGAGTGCTACAGATGTGCCGAGTTCTGGGTGGCAGCCAAGGCCTTTGATATGCTCGAAAAGTAAGTTGAGTTTTAGATGGAATATAGGCCCTATTATTAATATACTTTATTATATAGGCTTGATCCCAGTCCGGAGAATTGGGAGGGCAAGCGGGGAGCCTGTGCCGGAGTTTTGTTCGCCTTGTCCACCAAGGCTCAACGAGGTCGTCCTGGCGGAGGAATTTCAGAGGTCATTGGACTTTTACGCGACTCATCAAACTCACAAGCAGAGGCCATGATTAAAACCATAAGAAAGCACATAAATAGCTTTAAATAATTTAGGTTGAATGATAACTATTTCATGCAATTTATAAAAATTTATAAAGTCACAATTTTGTTATGAATGATAAAGTACATAAAATGAAAACTTAATAAAGAGATATTAGTTTTTCAATCCAAATAGATTGAATTAATTAATTTACCACTGTTCTTCAGAATGAATATTATTAAGTAATATTATAGTATAAACATAATTATTATAAATTAGTTGATACTATTTTATCTAATTTTACTGATTGACTATCGAATCAAACAAATACATGCAAAGCTCTTATTCAATTTAAATAATCAAAGTTAATTTGGTTGACCACATTTCAGGACAAGGCAAATTTGACTTAAGGAGCTCTTCTCAAATTAGTCGACTGAAAAATTATACTAATTTATTTACAATTGGCCTGCCAGCACTTTTCGCAACATTACTGATTAATTTGCGGCACACACGCCCATCATTTGTATCCGCAAAACACTTCGGCTAAATTTGATAGAAATTTGATCAAGGAAATTGAGGCCGGAATTTCAAAAGTTATGCCAGCCACTGTCCACTTAATAAATAAGGCGCAACAACTTTCAAAAACTAATTGATAATTAATGAAATAAAATCCCGTCTTCATCTTTTGTTGCCTCTGACGCTGCCAACGAAATTCTCAGCTCAATTTAATTCCCTTGAGAGGCAATTATGCCTGAAAAGTGGCCCCCTCCATCACCCCCCTCCAGCCCCTATCGTATCATAGCTTTCTTTGCCTGCAGTTTGCTTTTGTTCAATTTGCTGGCCATTTCGCCTGCAGGCCAGAGGATCCAAATTCAGACCCAGAAACAGCAACAGAAACAGAAACTGAGCCCCAGCAGTAAATGGGAGAAACGCATAATTAATGCGATTAGCACAAAATGCGAAAGTGTGACAGCAATAACAACAATGCGACAATGATAATAGCAAAAAGGAAACTACTCTTTCAAAATCAGCAAACTATACATACCCTTTAACCTTCTTTATTGAAATCTCAATACCTTAAATGGTCTGGAAAACTAAGTCACTACAACAAATTATATTTGAAATTTGTAACACAACGCTAGACAATTGTAAACTTTTTAAATATGTGTGAATAATTTGAATTTGATTAGTTAAAGTCGGAAATAAATATATAAATATTAAAATAAAAATAAGAAATATTTGAAATACAATTTTAAATCTAAGATTATTATTTGAAAAAATGGCTCTGCTCTCGCTTAATAATTTTTTTTTTATTTACATGTATTTAAAAATTATTAAAGCTAAGACTAATAATACACAGTAGGTACAAAATTAGAACTCATCATCAAACATTTTTGTTTGTTAACTTAAACAAACTTAAAACAATAAGGACATAATTGTAGTTAATTTTCTGTTAAATGTCAAACTAAACTTAAGAATACCCAGTTAATGTTCGATTTTAATTCTATAAAAATGTGTTAATGATATTCCAGCCAGTCCAATATTCGGTAGGATTCCTTTCGGGACAACGCACCACTCTTATTTAGGGTCAGGTCATGGTACTTAAGTGGCTGGCGATGGCTCAGCAAACCAGCGGAAATGTGTCGCAGCCATTTTGCCTAATTGGCTTTGCTTTGCTACACCAACAAAAATTAGTTGAGAGATAAACCGGAAATGGCGCAGCATTGAGCTAAATATATTGTAATGTATATCTACAGATTTCGCTTGGATTTTTTTGTCGTTTTGGCAACACTTTTGCTAATTAGTTGGACAAATATTTAAACAAAAGCTGAGTTGAAAACTTTAAGGCCAAAGCGGCTGGCATTTTTCACCGATGAATTTTTGTTCTCAAAAAACTTTTGGCTGACTATAAATCAGCTGAGTCCCCTCTGCCCGACCATCCGCTCTTAACAATTCCATTACAAAAATTAAAAGTAAATGCAAAGAGGACTTTCCCAAACAAGACCAAAAAAAGTGGAAAACCGGCAAGAAAATAGTTATTAAATATTTCTTTGGCTCAATTTCTGAGCAAACTTTTACCAGCACCTGCAAATAAATGAAAAGAAATATTCACCACCCAAAAGAAGGCACCCAGAAGTGGTTCCTGATAAAATATTGTATATATATTCTTAATCTACAATTTTTCTAGAGCCTTACCGATACCTTTTTAAGCAATTGATTTTAATTATGCTTGATTACCCAAAAGTATTACCCAAAGTAACCCAAAGAATTTCAAATACTTTTCTTAAGCAAATAAACTTTTAAATTCCATTAGGTGCACTCAATTTTGTAGCCACCTCTTTCTTACTTAAAGCTATAAATATAGGCGCAGTGGGTAATTAAACTGGGCTTAGCAGAACTTTAATGGGAGCTTTAAGTTAAAGTTATGAGAAATATCTAGAGATAGTTTGGAAAAGTGGAAAAGCGAGAAAAATAAATAAACGCTTGAGCCAATGCTTGGAATTTAAAGGAATATTTCTTAAGGTTTGCTTCCTTGCAGAGTTTTATAAGAACAAAATCTTTTTAAAATAATTAGTTAAACAAATTAACCATATTTTATCATATACAAAATAAACATCTTTTGTAAAAATATAATCTTTGAGTAAAAGCCATTGCCAAGGCAGCACAAATCTTGGTTCAACACTCTCTTCTAATGCCTAATATATGCACAGACTGTTCAAACCTCAAGGTTATCTGCATGATTAACGATTTGGCGAAAGAAAAAATTTGATATAAACTTTGCAGACGGTAGAAAAAACCTGGCCACAGGCCAATGGAATTATAACGAAATCAAATTTGAAGGAGGCCGTGAGTAAAGTGTTTGAACTCAAATGTCCAGTCTCTGGCCACAACTGTACTCCAACTCAAATTGAACGTACACAAATTGATCTCGACAAAAGCGTAGAAGTTAAATTTATAAAGTTTAATATTTTGATTCTGTAAATTCGTGTAAGAATATACAATAGATAAATATGAGTTCGGATGAGATTAAGTTGGAGGCTGCTTATGAGCATTTGATGGAGGAGAACATCAAAAGCCAGTTGGAGAAAAATGGAACAATGGCGGTACTTCGGAGTGAAATGCACGTAAAGGTCCTTCAGATGATGCGGGGCCAGCAGGATGTGATCAGAAAACAATCTCTAATGGGTGGATCAGCCAACCTATCCGAAGATCAGAGTCTGATCAAGCTAATCAATCAGCTGGTTATGGAGTTCTTTCATTGGTTCGGCTACAGGCACACCCTGGAAACATTTCGCATGGAGACGGGTGAGAGTGTGGCCAATCGCAGTGAAATGGAGCAAAGTCTTTTCATCACACCCGACTCGAAGGATATTCCCCTTCTGGCTCAACTAATCATGCGCGACTGGAAATTGAGTCCGGATAATGTGGTTGGCAAAAGGGTGGTTCAACTGCCGGATCCGGGAAATTCCATGTCGCAACGTTGCCGCAAGTTAAGAGAGGAACTCGAAGCCCAGCGAGCCCAAAAGGAAATCAAACAGGAGAAGCTAGTTCAATACAATCGAAAACTCATTAAAAATGATCCACTGAAAAGACCCATCACAGTGAAGATGACCAAAACTCCACCTCGATCATTCAAGAAAGAAAGTTCGAAGGTGTGCTTGGATAGCTCTGAATCCGATATCCTAGAATCGGATTACAGCGAGGAAGAGTCGGAGGATAGTGATGCTTACAAGGACATACCCGACAGACAGTTCTATATCGAGGACTTGCCACCTGAAGGTAAATATGCCCCAGGTCGTGGTGAAGAAGGACCCTACGATGCCAAGCAAAGACAGGCCGATAGTCTATTTGAGCAATATAAGCGCGGAATTAGTGCCGACAATATTCCAAGTTCATCCAAAAAACCCACAACACCGAATAGACCAAGAAATCTACCGACTGAAGGGTCAGATTCATGGAATGAATCTTCGCTGCGAGGCAAGAACAAAGTCTCCCAATGGAATTACCCCAGAAAAATACAACATCGTGGCAAAAACGGCATTAAGTCTGAGGATGAACCTCTTTTGGCTGTCGCCAAACCCAAATGCCCCGATACCCAAATAGGAGAAATCAATTTGGACAGCGATGATAGCTACGATGAGTGATCAAAAACTGCAGACCCTCCAACTAATCCGAGTTTAATTTAAATTTACGAGGTATACTCCAGTCATATTCAGATTCCTGGTAAATTTATAGTTTTTTACTAGAATCTATTATTTTACCTAAGTAACAATACTTTTTGGCTGTATTTTTTGTTAATAAAATATATATTTAAATTTATAACGTAAGTTTAATTTTTGGGCTGTTACTTATAAAATAGTTAACCAATTAAGGTGCGGATTTGGCTTCCTCGTCGATATTTCAACCAGAATAATTTACTTCTCTGCCGTGCAATTAATTACTGCTGGAATTTCCTGTAGCAAACTGGTTCTTCTATTTAATATTCGAACCACATGCCCGAACATGCCTTTTGGGGTAATGGAGAAAGTAAAACCGAGATGAAGAGGTCGATTAGGGTATAGCGTGCATTGTGTTACATCATTATAATTGAAATCAATATCCCCCAGATGATAGCTCGAATGGGGGAAATGCAGTAGTCGCAAAGCGGATGCCGCCTGTCAATTGGTTTGCATTAATATGGCGTGCGAGTCTTAACACCATTAATTACAACGGCAATGAGTCAATATTATGACAGTTGCAACTGTGACCCCGACAACAAAGGGAAGCAGTTGGAGGTGACCCAAACCAAAGTAACACCGAGGACATCTTCAATCAATTAATTAGGCCTATTGGGGATATCAGGAGGTCTCTGACCCTTTAAAGTATTCCAGCTCATTTGATTGATTTTATGCAGATGGTGAAAGGTATACACAGCCCTATTGACAATCCCACAACCAAAGAGATAGATGTGTTGACTGAACACAACCAACCTACAAAATGTCTTCAGGTGGGGTACTTTAAGGTATGGTGATAAACAGTTACAGGAAATTCTGCCTGCACACACTGGAAAAATCTATTAATATTTATACTCTGCAGTTCCAGAAAAAAATAAGAAAAATCGTAGCTTAGAGTTCCCTAGGATCTTTATTTTGTTGTCTAATTTTTTAAAACAAAAATTTAAAAATTAGAAGAGAATTTAATTATTAATGGCTTTCCTATAAGTCAATATAATGATCATGAATTTAATTAAAATTTTATTTTTTATCTGTACTCATGTAATTAAATTTAATTAAATTTAAACAGATGAATCTAAATTTAGTTAAATTTAAATAATTGAAAAAGTATCAAATATATATTTAATGAAATAACTCCCCTTTTTGTTTCGCATTGGATTTACCATACCTAGTGTGCGTACTCGTTTTCCCTTTATTGCCTTTACATCCTCCAACTTCCTCCACTTCATCAAACCCACAGAAGGCACTCAGAAATATGGCCAGTATAAACGATGGCCAACTGGTGGCACGATAAACCATGGTAAGCATTTGTGCAGTCAGTATCCATGTCTCTACGTAGTACGTACATATATATCCACATGGCCCATATCAATAACCTGTGCGGAGCGTACGAAAAATGCAATTTTAATTAGCCAGACGTGCGACAAACGCACGTAGAACGCATAACCGCAAGATGGTGCTGCAATTAGGCGAACCCATCCGAATCCGTGGCCATTCCCCGGATTTCCCAGTCCCAGTCGCAGTCGCAGTCCCAGTCCCCAGATCCAGTCACTCAGCCATCGGCTACGTGCTGCTGTGCCAAACAAAATTATGTGGCCAAATGTTCGCGACAGGAGAAGTGGAAGCAGGTTGACTGGCCATGGCCAAATTACTTTATCGATTTGCCTGGTACTCGTACATTTGTACAATTCGGCTTGTTGCATACATTACCCGCCGAATGACGTGGGAGGATGTGGATGTGGATGTAAATGGACGAAGGGATTGGGGATCCAAAGAGCAGCCAGCTGGATGACCACGCTAACGAGCCTCATTAGTGGCATGCGTGGCATTGGTGGCATCATTCCGTTCTGCTCGTTGACATTCGAAAACCGCCAGGAACGTGATTTCTTACGGGATTCAGGACAGTAATGATTGTCAAGTGGCGAAAGATTGAAGAACAATTCGGAAAGGGAAAGGGTAGATAATTTCATAATCCATAATCTTTAACCAGAACCAAATTTAAAAGTTTAAAAAAAATGTAATGTAAATCATAGCTAATGATATTAAATCATAGCTTAATATCATAAGCTTAATATCATAAGCTATGATTTAATATCATCATTGATTTAATATCATTGTATGCAGTACATTTTTGTAATCTGCTAACTTTTAAGCTTTGTGGCTGTTCTGCATTAAAATTTTGATTCAAGTTTGTCCCAGCCCTTAATAATTAAATTCATTCAAATAAATTAGTTTTGCCAGTTAAGCCACAAACAAAAGTAATTACGCTCACTTTAACTTTACCTACCAAACTAATCCCATTTAAAACCTAATCGAGTTTAAGCCCTGTTAAGAAAGGAGGCAGAGAAACAGCTTAGATTTAAGTAAATTTCAAAAATTATAAACTTCCGATGCGTTTCAAAGAACATAAAATAAATTGCCTCAGTCAGATAATGCTCACATGGCGTATGTGTAATATTTCTGGTCAGTTATCTGGCCTCAGCTCCAGCAGGACTGCCCAATGATTTGCGGTTTTATTCGAGGTCGGAGGACGAAGGGCTGCATGGGAAAAGCTTATGAAAATTTGTTCGGCTGGCCCACATTGTTTACAGCAATTTTATTGTGGCCAAGTTTCGACTATCATCCTGTGGCTTCTGCCTTAGTCGACATATAAATGTTAAATCCAAATGACAACGCCCACACAAGCTAACACACAGGGGCGGAAACGAAAGGCAGTTGAACATTTGTGGTACCAAACCTTGATGAGTTGACGAAAACTGAAAGAAACCGAATATCGTGGACAGGGGTTATCATCGAAAACTTAATCACACTTGAAGTAAACACTGGCTGTACAGTGTGCGACATAACGACCTGGTTGCAGTGAAGCGGAAAACGCATTTTAGTGGTTTTTAATGCGAAAGCAATTTGAAAAGTTTGCCTTTAGCCGAAAAAGTTGTAACGATAAGGAAACATGTTGGATTGAGGCGATGGGGTTTGCCATGGAAATGTATTATTGTAGCATTGTGGCTAATTAGACATAACCACAATCCCACTTTTCCTAAAAACAACGAGCATTACCGATGATAAGAGGAATAAATAATGTACACAACAATCTCAAATGGATAACAAATTACATATTGTTGTTAATTTAACCTTTATTTCAAATTGGCTATAAATGTAAGGGATAAAATGTTAATTGACAATAAAACATATTTAAAATACTTTCAATGTTATGGTTTTACATTAATTTGATTTTATACAAAAACCAATAAAAATGTATGTTAACTTTTAATGAATTTCAAAAAAAGTATTTATTCCTTAAAGTATAAGCCTTGTAGGTGCACAAAATTTAATATTAAATAGTTTCACGTGGACCCTCAATTAGGGTTGCTATTTATAACAGATTTTATCGACACTCCTTGAAACTATTACATAAACTGGGCCCGAGTCGACTAAAAGTAATAAGCTTACGACCACTCAGTGAATATAAATACCACCGGCAGGTGTCATTTCCCACACAGCCCAATTTAAGCAGATCATATATCGCCGTATTGGCAATAATATCTGATTTTCTGAGGATTATCTTAACAGGGGCGGCAATCAAACGAGTGCAATTGCTGCGAATAACGTTTTGGTGCGAATTGGCAGGTCTGAGAAGCTCGCTTCCTTTCTTCCAGTTTATTTCAGCCGGTTGTCTATTAAGTTTTCCATTACAGTAGATAGCGATCAGGACACGCCTCCACGGCAAACACTTCGCCCCCCGTCCACAAATACATGGGCACATGTGGGGTAACTTCAAACGTAAATCGAATGAAAGGCCCAAAGTAAAAGCAGTTACCAATAGCTAAAGACGTCAAGCCTTCCAGACCCAGTTTCTCAAACACATCTGAGAAAGTAAGTGTGAGCGAAGGTCCTGGCGAATGCAGTCAGAGTACGTGTGTGTGTGTGTGGGTGGGTTGTGCCATGACAACAATGGCATTTTGATACTTTTGTATGAGATTTAATGAAATTTGAATCCTTTTGTTGAGTGGAATGACAACAGCAAGGAAGCTGTTGTAGATGCCGAAGGAGAAAATGGGAGAAGTGCCAGGAAGCAAGACGAAGGACGAGAAGAACAAGAAGCATTCGCCTGTGGGCAAGATTCGTGGGACTACACTGCGAGAATTGAATTGTTGATTCTTAGAAGCAATGAAAAAATAAATTAGATTGGTCGATAAGGATCGACTTAAACATAAATATAGGTATACCTGGATTGTAAAATATATTTAATACCTCCCATCTGGTATTCCACATATCTTTTTTTAATAAAAAAATAAAATTTTACCGCACTTAAATATCGGAAACTCGCTTACTTTAAGCTTTAAAATGTTAAATATTTTAATTTACAAATTCATTAAAATACAATATATTTTTCAAACTTTCTACGATATATTTCTCTCAGTGCCTTCAATATTCATGTAGTTAAAGTATCTGCGTAAGTGTGTTGGTATCTATAAGTATAGATAAATGTGTACATTTTGGGTGTCTTACAACAATAGTAAAACAATCTTCTTAATGCACACTTTGGCCTAAAGGAATTTTTCCACTTGTAAAGCGATCCTTGTAGGACAGAGATATGTGTTCCGGGTCCGGATTCCATCACACCAACCTCCCCCTGAACCACCTCATCAGCATCGTCAATTTGGCATGGTGCGTGTATTTATAGATGGCAGAATATATATTGACAGAGAAACATGTTAATAAACAGCTGGAAGTTTGGTTTATTGTCATCGGCAAAAGTCTTCACAAAGAAACATCAAGTCGATGGGAATAAAATTTGAGCTGACACACGTACTGAGACAATATGCTCGGGGGAACTTGCCAAAAGGGTTCTCTTGTTTGTCCGGGGTTTGGCGGAGGTATCAATAACATTGTTGTCCTGGGGAAAAAGTGGGTTGCAAAGTGGGTGCCACAACAACGTGGCTCCTCTCCAGATATTAGTCGCCTGACAAAGATGTCAGTTGGCAGCCAAGGAAGATGTGCGTGAGTTTGTGTGATGGAGCTCCATCTATGTTTGTCATCTCCTCGGGGTTCTTGTTTGCCCATAGTTAAAACAAATTTTCAAGTTTAATTTTGTGTTGCAACTACATTGTATGGGTATTTTGGGTTGACACATTCTGTATTATATGAGAAGGAATATTAAAGCAAAGTTCTGGGTGTCACTAAAATCTCTAGTGGTTTGAAATCACTAATTGAGGTCGATTTGTACAGATAAATATGATATATATAAGAATATAAGAAACAAACCAGATTATACCGTATTAGCTTAAAGTTGTGACGTTTGTTATTGTTAGGTCTTTTTTAATTAAATAACTCAATTATTAACCTATCCAGATCTGTATCTGTAATTATTACCTGTTCTTATTGTTATAATCTTCATTGTTGTACCTCTTCTTGCGACTCTCCAGATAAATTTCAATACCCATTTGTCTTGACTCACCCATAAGAAAACCTATCTGTTGAAAAATTACATTTAATTTTTGGTTCTGATAAAACACTGAACATGCTATTAGCTGTCGCAAGTTTAGTGTCCCACTTAAAGGTAATTTTGCTGTTATATTTAAAGGCATATAAAGGTATTCCATTACTTAACTGACATTTTAGCGGTTTTTGGTTTTGCGGAACTAGTGTTCTTTTCCAAGATTTTAATTAAAAAATTACTCATATCGCAGAGGGAGTTGCGCTATCTCCCACCTATCTGCTCGTTGCTGCGGAAGATAAATTTCCCGGCTTGACGAAATATTCATGTGGTTTCTTGCTGGAAAACCTCTTGGCAGCCCAGGACCAAAAGTGTGCAGCAAGTTTATGAAAATTCCTTGTTTATGCGAAAGGTGTGTGCGTGCGAAAATTGTGTTGGTTTGTTAATTTTGCGCTGCTTCAACGTTGCTGTCAAAGTTATATGCTGGTTAGCTCAGCTAGTAAAACTTTTCGGTTTTTGGCCAAATGAATGTACATTTGTATACGTGCTTGTGTGATTTTCTAATTTATGAGCCCAGTTAGATGTGGCACAATGCTGGCAGGACCAAAAAGTTCAACCAAAAACGCGTTTTAATCGAAAACTTAAATAGAAATCATAAAAAAAAAAAAAAAAAGGGGAAAAAATGTGTTTTAAAAATTGTTTTAATAACAAAATGCAATGTGTTTTTGTAATTGAATATGGGAGAAAACATATCAATCCCTTGCAAGTTGTCAAATATCATATTCCAAAGATATTAAATTTTACAAATGCAAACAAATGAAAAATTTATGAAATACCATTTAATTAAAACTTATTGTCAATATAAAAGTGAGTGGTCACTGTAATTTGCAATATGTGTACACATGTCCTATGGACAAACAACTTCAACAAGTAGCCCAACAAAACAAGACCAAGCCAAACAATAATATTTGCATTTTATTCCAAATTAGAATACAAATTCCCATCTTATCGAAATAGGAAATAAACGAAGGCCATGAAAAAGTTGGATTTACGGGGAAAACAGGTGCCTAAGTACGGGAAAAGCTCTGCAGGCGCACACACACGCCACATTTGTTTGGTATTTGGCAGCTTAAATATTTCACAAACTAATATCAATTCAATTTGTATGCATTGACAACAGTGTGCGTGAGTGTATCTATGTGGGTGTCTTGTTGAGGTGGTGTGCGAAAGAATTTCGGCAGCATCCCGAATTATTTATGCTTTCCTAATAAGAGCAAAAGCCAAATGACACCATGGTAACCCACGTCTATGTATTGACAATCTAGGAAGTTCAAGATTAAAAATGTTTTTGTTTTAAGCATTCTAATGATGATTTCTAGAATTCTTTAATATGAACAACGTTTATTTAACCTAAAATGTGACTCTTTAATTACCACAATCTTTATAATATACATATACAATCTAATTGGAGGCTGAAATGTCCAAATTTGGTTCGAGAAATGCAATTTTTCTTTTATGGTCAGCCTTTTTATGTAAAACATTTGTCTTAACAACGATTCTATTTCTTTTCTTAGAAGAAAAGTAGTTAGATTATTTATATTTATAAATCTGTTTACAACAAGGATAAATTTATGGTAAACAGTTGTGTCACGGAAAATGTATTGTCAAAGATTACAGAACTACCAAATATTCAAAGTAACATAACATCATCGAGAGAGGTTGTAGTTGTGGTAAGTATTAACATTAGAAGTCGAATTTACCTTTTCTTCTTTATATAATGTAATATTTACTCTTGTTTATTTATTTATATTTCGTACATTTTACAAAGCTTAAAAATAATGATTTTCAAATACCGATAACCGCGCCAAAGTTATCGCCTAGTCAAAATGTTGGCAGCCTGATATGTAACAGCTGTGTTTCTGCAGCGAGTTGGCAGCTCCAGCAAACCAATTCTAAAATTCTACGTGGAGCAGAAAATCCAGAGCAAATAATGTCCAAAAACCCGAAAAAGGATGATGAGAGTGGCAACGACTGGGCTCAGAGCGACGAGGACGACAATTGGGACGACTGGGGCGACGATGATGACAAGTTTGTCCATGTGGAGAAGGAGCAGCCGCTGGAGGAGAAAGTCTCGAGCATAAACGACGCAAAAGCAGAGGTGGAGACTCGAGAAAAGCAGGAAACTCCAAGAGTTCCAACGACCGCAGCCACCGCCTCATCATCCTGGGGTCTCTGGGGCGGGAAACTGAGCTCCGTGCTGAGTACGGCCACCGAAGGATTGGGCACCATAACGACACAAGTGAACCAGGGCCTAAATCAAATCATAGGAGTGCCCGATCCCGAGGAACTCGCTCGCATCAATGTAGCAGAAAAGGCCGAAGCGGCGGAAAAAGCTGCCAAGGAGCCCGCACAGAAAGAGGACAAAACTCCAGAGAAAAATCTCGAAGACGAAAACGAATCCTCGCCCGCTTTTGGCCTGGGTTTCGTCACCAATCTGGGCTCCAAGGTGCTCAACACCGGACTGGACACGCTCGAAGGCATTGGCAAAAAGACCATGACCATCCTGCAGGACAACGATCCCAAGCTGATGCACAAGAGAAAGCTGCTCGGCCTGGACGCCAACTCTCCCAATCTGAGTGCCGTGCTGTTGGAGGCGAAAAAGGATGCCGACCAAATGGAGCAATCCCTGCAGCAACTGCAGCTGGAAAAGCAGAAGGCGCAGCTACGCTTCGAGGTCCTTTTTGAGAACTACTGCGGCCTGGTGCACTTCGAGGCACTGGAAATCCTGTCCAGAGAGTCTCGCCTCAAGCTGGACACCCTTCTGGATGCTGTCAGTGGGAATGCCCTGGCCGAACTGCAGGAGACCATAAACGAGGTGAAGGAGCTGCTCGACATGGAAGAACTGGATGTGGAGAGCGAAGGAGACTACGAGTCGCAGGAGCTAAACGAGCGACTAGCTGACACCATTAAGGATGCCGAGCTGGGAATTCAATTCGATGACATAGCAAAGTGGGTATTATTTAATTAAGGATACGCCACATTCTCTATTTCAAATTCAAACAAATGTTTTGTGAAACAATCGGACCGATAACGTACTACAAAAGATTACTTTTTGAATACAGAAGTGTTGGAAGTATTCTTAATTTAAATCAAAATGGTATAAATAATTCCCAAAATCCCCTTTTCAGACAGTGGACGCAGTCCCTTGATTGGCTCAACTCCGAGGAGGCCTCTTCCGGCGATCTGGAGCAGGCGTATGCCAAGAGCATCCATGCTTTGAGCGAAGCGTGTGCCCTGGAGATGTGTAAGCTACACAAGATCGCCGAGCTCCTGCTGGTGAAGTCACATCACAGCACTGCCAACGAGGTGGACGGCGTGGTCAATATCTGCCAGCAGTTCAACGGGCACCTCCAAGGACTTAGCCACCGATTCGCCGCCGTTCTGAGCAGCAAACCGGAACCGGAAGAGGCCAAAGCCCGGGTTAGCACATTCTTTTCGGAAATGCTATCTGCCGTTCAGTTCATCGAGAAGGCGTACAGACTATTCACTCCCATTCTGCAAATGGGAGCTGTTTAGACGGATTTAATTCTATTTGTTATACTTGCTAATTTTACGATTGCTTGGTCTATGTCTTAAACTCACTTGTTTTCTATATAAATGCATACAAATTATAAAAGATTGCATATGCTTGTGATAACATTCCAGAAATTTAGAGATTTATTAGTGGGGAGAAAAAAATAGTATAAATTGAATTTGAATACCCTTTCTGGATAAATATCTGTATTTATATTAAAGTTTAATTAATATGAATCCATTTTAAATTTATAGACAGGGAATACAATCGCACTGTATTTATCAAACAACTTTTTAAAAAAGATTCATGATAAGCGCAGCGATAGTTTTCAAACATTGTATGTTCAATTCCTTTACGATTCAAACGGTCAACAAATCGATCGCAACAAACAAAATATAAATTTTCCATTTAACTTAAACGAATACATTTTATTTGCACAATGGGAGAGCGTAATAAGCGTCCAGTTATCCTGCTGAAGGTCCCATCCTCTGATGATTTTTATGGATCGGCATTGCGCAGCCATAATCTAGATCCCATTTTCATTGCTCCCTCACATTTTGTGTTCAAGAATTTAAAGCAGTTGCAGGCGAAGCTGCAGGAGCCCCACAGATATGCCGGGATTATATTTGCTGCCCCTCGATGTGTACAGGCGGTTAACGAGGCCCTCGACAAGGCGCCTCTTCCCAGTTGCTGGCGACCCTTGCACAATTACGCCTTGGGTAAAAACACCCACAGCTCGGCTTGGTTCACATTGCAAAACCTGCCAACTTTGGGCGATCACGCGGTGAATGCAAACAATCTGTGCGATTTGATCGTGGAAACTTTCGGACCCAAAAGGGATCTTCCGTTGCTAATGCCCTGTGGCAATGGTGTTGGTCAGACGCTGCGCCTCCGGTTGGTGGCCCAGGGGTTCCGAGTGGATGCCTGCGAGGTGTACGAGAGTCGGTCGCATCCAGAGTTTGTCAATCAGATGCGCCATGCCCTCAAGTTTAAGCGAATGGAGACGATCGTCTTCTTTGGACCCTCCAGCGTCCGTAGTGCCTTGGAGTTCTTCGAGAGTTTCAAGGTATCGCTCAAGGATCGCAAAATGATAGCCGTGGGAAGTGGTACCAGAAAGGCAATGGAAGATGCCGGCATTCAGGCAGATGCCGTAGTTGATGCGGCTGACGTGGACCATCTCATAAAGGTTATCAAATCCTAGTTCAGAAGAGAATTATTTTTTCCGTGTTGTTTTTACGTTTTTACTTTTGGTATGATTTCAAAATCTGTTAAGTGTTTAGTGTTTTCAATGTAAACCAAGCCATGACGAGTTTTATCAGAAATTCAATTTAATCGGATAAAATCCGTACATTCTTCCAACAAAAAAGCAAGGAATTCAAAATTTATAATGGTTTTATTTTAAAACTATTAAACTGCATCTAGTAAACACAATGAAAATTATTTCGCGTATTATTTTTTATATGAATATATCGAATATTACGTAGTTACTTAGCACTTAGTTACCAAATTAAGGTAATTCAATAGATAGAAAAGTATTTTCTTAAAAAATACTTGCAGGATACAAGTATTTAAAGAATAGTTTTTAAATGATAACGAAAGTTCTAAATTCATTTCTCCACTCAGTATCCTTACATTTATCTGGTATTAAGTGGTTAACTTGCTTAATTAGATTTCTTCAAAATGTCGAACAGATCTTCCTGTTGCGGTTTAACCACAGCAGACAGTTTATGGTTTTTATAGCTTAAAACCTGTAACAATAAATTAATATCAATTAATTTGGGTAACCTCGGATCCATACTGAATACTTACAGGCTGGTCATCCTCGCTTTCAAAGTCTGACAAATGTATTGCACCAATTTGTCGCTGATGACCGAACATAGTTTTTGAAGAGCTCGGCAAATCATCGTTTGAATCCGGTTGCACTTTTTTTGGAGTGCTTTGTGTTTTGGAGGTTTCCATGGCATCCTGGAGTTTAGAAGTCGATAATTGTGTGGGCACATTGTGAGCTGATTTGGCACTCCGATTAGCGCTTACAAGCTGTTACAATAAGCTCAATACGATTATCAGTTTTGTAATCATCATATAAATACCTACCGGCTGCCCATCCTCGCTTTGAAAGCTTGTCGAATGTCCGGTGGTTATCCCTTGTTCACCAGCATTACGTTTTTTTGAAGAGCCCGGCAAATGAACGTTCTTTTTCGGTGGAGCATTTTTTTTCGTGTTTTGGATTTTAGAACCCTGTAAGGATGTGTCCACATCCACTTTGTGAACTGGTTGGTCGATTAAACTGTTAATTCGATTCATTTTGAATTTAAGTACGGCCATTTCATTCTATCGACATATTAATATTTGGTATTAACGGATTATTGTATGCAAAGGAATAACCTAATAGACTTACGTTCTGTTCGCGTTCCAATTCAAGCATTTCGGATTCTTTATTTTTAATTTCCATCTGCATTTCAGATAACTTTTTCTGTTACAAAAATTATAGAATTAATATTATCAGTGCACTGGGTTTTCTCATCCTTTAAACCTTACCTGAAGGCGAATCTCCTGGGAATTCAGCTCTTGTGTGAATTTCAACTTAGCTGCCGATAATTCAGTGGTGATTTTCTCCTTCTCATCCTGTACCTTTGCAAATAAAATTTCAAGCTTTTCATGATCAATCGCCAAACGTTGCATGTTCGTTTGCTCAGCTTTCAACATTCCATCACTTTGAACGAGTGCAGCTTTAAGTGCTTGAGTTTCATCAGCATTGCGCAGACTTTCTGCCTCAAATTTAGATGTCATGATCTCGATTTGATTACTTAGCTGTTGCTGCTGTCGTTCTATTTCTTTTTCATAGCTATTAGTTTTCATTTGCAGTTCATTGCAAAGCTCCTCCTGCTTTTTACGCTGCAACTCCATTTCATTAAGCTTTCCTTGAAGTTCGGCGACCTTCAGATGGTTTTCCTTTTGTAGTTCGTCACTGCTGTTCTTAAGCTGTGTAAAGTCAAGTGACCCCTTAGCCAATAGAGCTTTTAGCTCCAGAAGAGCAGTCTAATAAGATACAGTTATTAAATATAAGAAAAGAAAAATGATGTGTATTATTGAACCCACCTCGTGAGCATTCGTGTGATCCTTTATGTCTTGTGAGTGTTTTAATTTAGTTTCACACAATTCATTATAATAAGATTCGTTGATATTAACCAGCTCGCTCAGTCTTTCCGTCGTTTTCTTAAGTTCGTCATTAAGGGACACATTGTTTCTTTCCCTTTCATCCACAATAGTTTTTAATATATTTATCTCATTTAAAGCTAGTTCAAGATCTTTTACGGCTTGATCAGTCAATCGCTGCTGCTCCAGACAGTTATTTTCGCTGCATTCTAACTCACTTACGAGTTTAGACAAAACCTTTTTGTTTTCAGAAGAGAGCTGTTTAATGCGCTCTTCAGCTTCCACGCCGGCAATATTCTTTTCATTTAGCTCGGTCGACAGCTGTGAAATGTTAGCCTGTAAAAAATAAGTCAGAGTAGTCAGTAACATAAGATAAAATGTGTGTGAAAAGACTTATGACGCTAGCAAGATAAGATGTTACTGATGTTTATTTAAAAAACAGGATGAGATATGAATGTATAGAGCGGGTTATCCATTTAAATAACACAAGTGTTCTGAATTTTCGATATTTAATGTAAAGAAACAATTTAAAACCCTAATAAAACATACCTCACAAAGTTCTTTTTCTGCAGTCATAGCTTCAAATGTTATCTTAAGACCTTCAAACTCCTCTGTGATTTCATTATTGTACTTCATCAACTCAGTGTTTATGACTTTTGACCTTTCCAGTTCAATCTTAAAGTTGTTGATAACGCCAGCCAGTTCACGATTGGTTTGTTGCAAATTCTTCAGCTGCAAAAAAATATATATTTGTGGAGAAGGTTTCAATTTTACTCAAGATCGGGGATCCTCTTACGTCGAGATCCCGTGTAGCAATTCGAGACTGAGCGGCTTTAAGGTCTGTATTTTGCTTTGTTACACACGCTTTAATGATCCCCAGCTCCTTATCGTATTTTTTCTCACAGCTGGTATACTCTTGGTTGATTTTCGTATACTTTTTGATGTTCTCTGCGTTCTTCTCTTGCTGCTCCAAAAGATCTTTTTTCAAGCCAGACAACTCCCGCTCCGTGTTAGCCAACCTGAAAGAAAGTTTTGACTGGAGCTATCCACATACTTTACCAAAATGTCAAGCCTTACTTTTTCTTTAGGTTAAGATTTTCAGAATTTTTCTTCGATGAGTCCAACATGTTGGCCTGCATTTTACTGGCCATGATAAAGCCCTCCCTTTTAAGATTTATGAGCGAATCGTTGTGCTTCTCCATAAAGCTATCCAGTATTATTCCAGTACCGGGCGACAATTTTTGGATATCTTTCCACAATTTTGTCGGGCTTTTAGACGACCTCTTCAACATTTTTTTCGGTGCCTCCGTGGATACTGGTGGCGTAATTTTTCCCGGGTTTACTTTGGGTTTCTCCACGGACTTTGTTTTGGCTGCGTCAATTATTGGTGCACCGAAGCGAGGCGTCCTATTTGACGCCTCATTTGTTGAAGGCTCGGTGCGGTGATGCTTATTTGGCGCCTTTAGTTTAGAAAACTTTTTAAGTAGCGCAGGATTTTCAGGAGTTGGGGATTTTGGAAACTCTGCTGCCATTGCGGTGGGGATTTGAATATTCTTTTTATCGGAAACTGTACTTTTCTTGGGTGCTTTTGCTGGAACTGAACCCGCCAACGGATCGGCTGCTCTTTTCTTTGCCCCCGCCATTGCTCCTTCTAAGTCAGGACCAAAATTTATGTTGCGGATAATGGAGTACATTGCTAAAAATATAGAGGGCATACTTACCAGAATTATTTTCTCAACTTCTTTTAATGAACTGAAATTCGGGGAAAAGCGCCCTCTCGTCAAAAACAACGGTAAACTTTAGCCAGAGCTGGCTCAACCACACACGATAGAATCGATATATCGATAAGCACGCTAAGTATATTTTGGTATTTTTTTTTTGTTTATATCCGCTCTGGCCACGGTCACTATGGCCATATTTTATAATAATTCTATTTTGGTTGTCAGAACATTTGTTTTACTGTGGTTGTTGATATTGCCAGGCGCTGATAATTTGGCGAGGCTTCGAAAATTCGATCCCGACGACACAATGGCAGGGTCTGGAGTTGTCAAGCAACTCTTTGCCTGCAATTTCGAGGTGTTTGGACGAGTGCAAGGTAATCTTTCCCTTTTCTGATCCAATTTATCTTACTCTTATTTAACCATTGCAGGTGTCTTTTTCCGCAAGGTAAGTGCCCAGAGCGTTATATATGTACTTATATTGGTAAGATTCTTTTGATCTAGTACACGGAACAGGCGGCTAATAACCTGGGTGTTAAGGGCTGGTGCATGAATACACGGGATGGAACGGTCAAAGGACAACTGGAGGCTCCGCTGGCGGAGCTAAACGAAATGTAATTCATTCCTTAGTTATTGATAACCATCTCAAACTTTTTATATCCCCAACAAATTGCAGGAAACATTGGCTTCAGACTAAAGGAAGTCCCAGTTCGAAAATCTCGAAGACGGAATTTACGCCAGCCCAGGAAATCGATGCCTACACTTTCAGTAGTTTCGATATAAGACGTTAATACCGTTTTGAAGCCAGCAAATGAAGGCTTTATATCAAAAGACCCCATAAATATTCCCATACCAAATAAATTTTGTCCCAAAAAATAAACAAACCTCGAAAACTGTGCAAAGTTGGCTTGCATTTTGCGTTGCCACATCGAAGAAATAGCAAAATTTTTTTGAAGTTCGTATTTTAATTCTTATATTTTCAAGACCTTTTAACCTTTGTTGTTTTATTTTATTATTTAAAATTTTTCCGGCAAAGTAAGATTCTTAAAAATATCGATAGTAAGATAAAGGCAACAAAATTTCACGATATAAATATTTTTCGCAAGAATATCGATACTCAATATACTTCACATCCTTACCAACTAGTTGTTCTGCTCGCACACTGGGCCCTGCGCCGCGCCACCGCCATAGACGGCCTATGTGCGAGAGGGAGACAACTATCGTAGCGGCATCGTACTTTGGTCTGGCACAGAAACGCGTACAGCTTCGATACACGTCGTTTTGGCAAAGCAATGAAAAAAATAAATGAGGAAAAAAATCCGTGAAGAGAACCGTACCGTAATAATTCCCAGTGCGAGTCACGCCATTGTGTAAGCCAAATTATTTCTGCCAATAGTGCGGTGGCACTTTTGCGGAACGGCCAAAATTGTGCGTATAAGTAAAAAAATATACTTAATTTTTAAGTAATTTACAAATTCTTGCGTGCTGCCTGCCATCGATGTTTGTGCATGTGTTAGTGAATACTTTCGCGCTGAAAACGTTTTTTACTACCATTTACGCTAGAATATGAAAATTATTGGGTAGAAAATACTTAAAACCGATTTAAATTTGATAGGAATTATTAAAGACATGTGGAATACAATAAATGCGATTGTGTAAATAACTGAAAATAGTGGAGCACACAGTTGCACGTGCGTGTGTGTGTGTGTGTGTATGTAAAGGCGCGATTTTCCGTTTGATAGAGCTAATTGTGGTGGAAAATCCCAATAAACGAAATTACATAAAGACATGGCGACCTGGCGCCAATTTCCCTACAGCAAATGATGAAAAATCCTGGAAAATTGTGATTTTCGAGAGCAACCGCAATGATTTCGTCAGTATGTAAAGTTGACTGTCTGTCTGTGCGTCTGTGTGTGTGTGAGTTCTATACAGTTTTTTTTATTGCGCATCTTAGTGTGCAATAGCGCGCGTTCTGACCTCTCTTTCGCTCCCACTGTCTCTCCTGCTGGCCAGAGCGTCGCTATGTGTGCGTGTTCATATAGCATATGTACATAACACGCCGGAAAAGACAAAAAAAACGATTTCTTTGGGAGGCGGGCGTTTTAACTAAGATAAATAAAATTCACAAAAATAGTATGTAAACGGCCAATTTCCAATTTAACAGTAATGTGTTAACGCTTTTTTAAAACCCCAAATAGTGAGCCTAGAATTTGTCAATGCGTTGATTTAGCTGTCGTTTTGTCGAAATAATAGCCCTTGTTTTCAAATCCTGGACAGGATTAGCATCGAGTACCCCAGGAATCGAGCGGACCAAATGCCGCAGCAGTCGGCCACCGCATTAGCATCAAAACGATGGCCCCAGCGCTTACAGCCGAGCCACTAAGTCCCAAGGAGAAACTAACCAGCACCGCCTCGCCTTCGGCCCGCAGCTCCTCGGAAAGCGGAGGAGTTTTAGGAGGAGCGGCCGGAGGGGCCAAGAAACCGGCAACACCCACGCCAGCCACGGCGACCACGCGGGTCACCCGTTCGTCCGCGGCGGCGGCCTCGTTGGCTGCCTCCCCGCAGCAGCACCAGCTGCGATCCTCGCCAGCAATTAATAACAAAAGAAAATCCATCGGCGTTAAAGCCAGCAATGATCCAATGGGGCTAAGCACCGCCCCCACTCCACACAGCAGCAGCAGCAGTAATCCCAATCCCACGACGGATGCTGCGGTGGCCTCCACCTCCACTGTGGAGCACAACAACAATAACAGCAGCACGTCCACCAGCAACAGCTCCACTCCCAAGGACAATTCCACGGCCCAGCTGCTAGCGGATCTGACTATTAACTTTGAGGAGACCATCTCTGCAGAAATTTGCCTAAGGAAAACCTTGCCCGATGTGAGCCTGGGCAAGGAGCCGGCCACGCCTGCCTCGGTTTTGGCAGTGGCCACCAGTTCTGCAAGTTCCGGAAGCGGTGTGGCTGGGGATACCTTGGTATCCTCAGCGGAGGAGCTGCCAAAGATAGAAACAGATAATATAGAGGGTAAGTCTACAGTGTTACGTCAAATGAAATGCCTCATTTCAATGTTTTCTTGGATTACTTTTTCAGAGCGCCTCAGTCAGCTGGATGGCAATGCCAGTGCTATGCCCGACGAGGTGGTGCCTCCGCCTTCTGTTCCAACTCCCGTGCAAGAAACACCCGTGACGCCCAGCAGGCCGCAGCAGCCGCCACTCAATGCCACACATCAACAAATGACGCCGCAGAGCACCTCCAGTTCAATTAATTTTCTTAAAGACGGAGCCGTTGGCGCTGTGCTAGAGGATCAGGACATCGAGGAGGTGCTTAAGGCGTTGAAAACATTCGACGGTGGCCATGTCAATCCGGATACCATCTGCGAGTTCTTCGACGAGGTGTGGAATGAGGCAGCTCCGGCGGCGCCTTTGCCTGCGGCGGCTCCTGAAAATGTCGTCGAGCTGCCTGACGTGAAGCCCAGCTGCAGTGGCAGCACAAACATTCTCGCCAGCAGCATTTCTCAGGCGAATGTGGGCATCAAACAGGAGCAGCGGCCCTGGCAGGATAGCCATGCTGAGTTGGAGCAGCAACAGCACTTGATTTCGCTCCGGATCGAGTCCATGCTGCTCAGGATGCGCAAGCTTCAGGCGCGCCAGATGTGCCGCCACACAAGCGAAGAAGTGGCCGGCATCATGGAGTGGTCCGCCCGCAGTTCCCACAAGGCGCCTATTCCAGCGAGGAGTGCCACACTGACCGATCAGGAGGCCACCGTCCTATCGATTGTCTCCGGACGTCCGTGTGCTGCCTTCTGGGAGGAGCAGAACAAGCATCCACTGCCCGCCAGCCAGATGAGTAATGTAATCCGGCATATTACAACGGCGGCCCGGAACCAGCAGATTTGTCAAACAGCCAGTGCGAGCTCGGCTACCCTCGCGCCATCCTCCAGTTGGTACAAAAACTCCAACAGCTCAGCGCTGCCGGGAAAGCGTCCGCGAAAGAATCAATTGGATGCTACGATGGCCACGGGAGCAGCAGCTTCTGCATCTTCAACATCTGGTTTGGCGCCAGGCACGATGGGATCCATAACAGATCCAAATACGCCGCGGGCGGATGACATCGTGCCCGGCTACGACACCTACGTGACCAGCGAGCTCTCCCATGTGGCCGGTTTACTGCACACGGAGCTGCGAGAGGTGCAGAACGCCATCGATTCGGACGCCACGGAGTCCAGTTCCGGTGGCGAGTCCGCCGACGAAATGGTTACCTACAACAATACCCAGCAGCTGTCGCTATCCATGTGAGTACAGCAATTCCATCTTGTTTTAATGTATTCGGAAATATAACTATAGTAGCTCGGGGCGATTTAACAATCAATATGTTTTCTTTCCGTTTTGGTACTGAGGAATTTGAGCTTGGTAGCCGCCTTTTTCTGTCAGTTCATAGATCAGTGAATTCGATTAAGCGTCTGTTCGATAAACTAGGAAGTATAGAAGTTCCTGCCACAAATATTTTGTTTTAAATTAGTTTCTGGAGGCGTCCCTTTTCTGACAGTTAAATTTGTATATGGTAGATTTTAACCAATTTTCTTGGTTTTTGGTAGCCCTGAGTGAATCTTTCTCAATGTGTATAAATCAACACAAAGAAAAAATAATTTATAAATTTCTGATTCATAGTTTTATTATATTGCACGGAAAATTAAAAAAAAAATGCTTTTACAAAGTTCTTTATCTGCATTGTTTTATTTTTTTGTGACACATTTATTTCTGAATAATTAAACCTTTTCCTATTCTATTTATTCCAGCGCTCGACGCGCTGTTTGGCGATACTCGAGAGATCGGGCAGGCATAGCCTTGCGCTGGTCGTGGCTCTGCTCCCAACTGGCCGATCTGGAGATGAAGATCCGTCAGCACAGTGACCTCTTCTGGGAGCTAAACCAATCCAAGGGCAAGGTTCAGCTGGAGTCCACATCGAAGGCATCGCCATCGCTGCCACCGCCTGCCAATGGCATCAAGGAGGAGCCAGCAACCGACTATCTCTGCAGTCGGGCCAGGCCATTGGTACTTTCGGAGTTCCGCAAGCGAAAGCTCTTCCAGACGACGAACATGCACACAATTTCCAAGAAGGCCGCACGGGCGAGCAACATAAAGTGCGGCTGCCAGTGGCCGCAGGTGCCATGCACTCTGTGCACGGGTCGAACAGATCCCACAGCGCCCCGTGATCTGGTCGAGACGATGATGCCGGCCAACCGGGTGGCGCTGCTCGATGCTGGCTACCATCCTGTTCTCAGCTTTGTCAGCGGTGAGTGGGACATTCCACTAAAAAGGCCTTTTTGGGTTTCACACTTGAAGATCTCGTTTTATTTTTAATCCCCTGTTTTTGTCAATATATTTTTTATCAGCTACAAAGCTCCACTATCGTCAGAATATATTAAATAAAAAACATTTTAAAGGCATATTCATATTTAAAAAGTTATTTAAATTCAGTTTTGAATTAATTGATAATAACAGTTTAAAAGCAATGTCCAGTATAAACTAAATTTACTGGTTTCAACCTTTTTGAATTTTTTTTTTATAATTTTATATAATATGTGCTGTTAAAAGGCTTTATTCAATTCTTCGCAAATGAAAATTGAGGTACTTCTTTAAAATGAATTGGCTTCTATGAGAGTGTAAAACCCAGAATAAATGCCAGAAACGAGCTTGATTACTTAAATGTTCCAAATGTTCTAAACATGATTCTCTTTTGTTTTTTGCAGATGTCAGCCAGTCGGTGCACTTAGAGGCCGTTGCCCGCCAGCCGGACTGGCAGTACCGCGTCATGCGCAGCCAGGCCAAGGCCATTGTCAAGGCCATGTGGAAGGCGGAGCGCGAGGCGCTGGCCTCCGGCGGGATCGGCGGACAGGCGGGCAGCCGTCGGTCGGGCGATGCGGTCAAGCGGCGTTATATACGACGCAAGGAGCGCAACAACAACTCAAATAAGGATGCTGGCAGCGGAGCTAAAGCAGCGGCTGCTGGAGGATCAGTTGGCGGAAGCGGTGGCGTCGGGGGAGGGGATAGCGGAAACGGTACTGGTACTGCTACTACTTCTTCTTCTACTACGCCTACTACAACGCCACTTGTGGCCAACAGTAAATTATTGTAAACATGACGAAATTCGATAATTGTTATTAACATAAAACAACAACAATCTTTTGCATCTCTTCTTCTTCTTTTTCTTTGCATCGATCAACCAAAACACGAAATTCCACAACAACACCAACAACAACAACGACAAAACTCCTCCACCAATTGTTTTATTTTGCCATTCCGTTCTTTGTCTCCGTTTCGTCCCTGTCCCGCATTCAAACCATGGATATAACGCGACAGCAGCAGCGGCCAAGGGCAGGAGGCCACCACAACACCCAACTGGAGCGAGCAATTCCAGCTCGCTGTGGCCAGACTCTCGCCAACGCCAACAACCACGCCACCACAGTCCCTCCTCAACCTCGATCTCGGCACTCAGCGGCTCTAAGAAGTCACGTAAATCCGCAAGCAACAGCAGCAGCAATTCCACACAGCAGCAGCATCAACACGGCAGCAACATCAACAACCAACATCTCAACGGATACGGGGATCAGTGGGGGGATCAGAGCAGAAGTCGCCGCAACTCCTCGCCCACCCACAGCCATCGAAATGAGAGGTAAGCATGGATTTAAGGGTTATAAGTAGAATTGAAAGATCGACTAAGTAGGATCCTCATGATCTTTGAATGATTTGCATATAATAATAATAATAATAAATAATTTAAATATGGTCTGCCAAATAATTTTTTGCTTTCTTTTTAGAACCTCGGAGCGTCGAGTTCGTCCCATCTACGACATCAATAACATCGTTATACCATACAGCATGTTGGCCCAGTCGAAAATGGAGATTCTTCCCTACAAGGAGATACCCATACCCAAGTAAGTTGTCCATGTTATTGAGTATTTAATAGGGTACTGCTATCAAAAGGCGTACGGATTCGGGAAGCAGTTTACGTTGGGAGGCATAACACAATTAGTTAAAAATATCCAAAGTTAAATTTTTATTATGCTTAAAATTATTGTATGAAGGAAAATTGTTGATCAATATTTTTGGACTTAAACCGTTCACCCGTATAAAGGCAAACAATAATAACCACCCCTATCTTTCTTTAAGGTGGCGCATTGTAGACAGTGATAATGATAAGGCAAAACATTCGTTGGATGAGTCAGCGGAGTGTAAACTAAGCAATGGCTGTGCCGCATCAACGTCGGATGAGCTACCCAAACCCCAGCCGCCATCGCAACAACGGGAGGAACCCCAACAACAGCCGGCCGTGCTGCAGCCTCCAAAAGTTAATGGGTTAAGGGACAAACAGGCAGTTAAGCACAATATAAATATTAATACCAACAACAATAATAATAAAAATGGACTGGTAAATGGCAATGCCAAGAAAGATGAATCCAAGGCAGTGGTAGATAACCAAGTGGAAAATAAGGAGGATAAGCGGAAGGAAACGGCGATCAAGCCCAAGCTCAACGGCAATATGGCAAAAAATACAAATGATAAATTTGTCGAAAAGAAGGAGGAGATCGTTGCTCAGCCAGCCTCAGAACTACCACTGCCTAAACGACCCAAGCTGGAAAAGCCAGCCGACGAGCTCACCAAGCCCAAGGCCAATGGTCAGGTGATGGAACTGCAGTCGGAAAACCGCGAGGATGAAGAGGAGGAGCACGGCGAGGAGGATCTCTCGGATGAGGCGTTCATCTTGCGACATCAGCGCGCTCTGCTCGAGGAGCGTCGCCGTTTCGAGACTTTCCTCAAGTTCCCTTGGAGCACTCGATCCCGTGCGAATCGACGCATTGATAGTCGCGCAGAATCGAGTGGCGCCAACACACCAGATCCCGCCTCGCCAGCTCCGCACATGGGCTGTGCTGGGCACGACAACGAAAGCATTCCCTCGCCGCTGGCCCATCCACTGGACGGGTTTAACGACAGCGGCGAGTTGCTGGTGGGCGGACAGACGCGCCAATCCCGACGCCGAACCACGTCCAGCAAGCTAAAGGATCAGGTGGAAAGGCGCAGCGCGACGCCCGATTTGCGGGAGGTAAGTCGAAAAGAGGGTTATGAATAACACAAACAAAACAGAAATAAATTCATTATTTCTATTGAGACTTATTGGATTAAAGATTTTTAGATTTTTAATTTTTGTCCGAGTTTAAAGCCAAACATGATTATATTTAAATTATAATTTATAATCCTTATTCATGTTTGTCAAAATGTAATATTTAAACTTTTAATAAATTTGAAATGTTTATTAAATGTTTAAATTTAAAAGAAAATTTTGACGCTTAAAACTGAAAACCAATTAATTGAATTACAAAATTATTAATAATTTATGAATTTATGGCTATTTCATAAAAGCCGGATCAACTATTGCAAATTCTATCGAATATCCCGTTCTTAATAATCCATCAACTATATCTAGTTATATAAGATAATATTTGAATCTACAATGCCTAATAGAAACAATCATTATTATTGAACAGCCCTATGCGTTGATGCCGTCGCCATTCGAACCCCTGCACTTTCCGCTCTCCGAAGAGGTCTACCAGCGAATGCTAGCCGAGACGTATGCGACGCCCAAATCGACGTCTGGCTCCAAGCGGGTCAAGAGCAAGTCTATATCCTCAAACTGCGACGGAAACACTTCCACGGGAGGCAGCAGTAGTCGGCGCAGCAGCAAGTCCAAGATTAAGCTGAATGGGCAGCTAAATGGTCAGCTAAATAGTCATCCTGCGGTAGCAAAGATAAACGGCACAGAGGGGTTAAGGGAAGGTGGAATTTCCGAGCCGGAAGAGGAGGATATGCTGCTGGAGGAGGTGGACGACGACTACCCGAAACATCATTTGGCGCCACTAGACGATGAGGAGCAATCGACCCCGGATGCCGAGCAAACTCTGTACGATGCGGCGATCGATGCCTATCTGGGCGATCCGGATGCGCTTGAGGAGGATATGGCCGATGATCCTTTCGAGGACGACGATCCCAACGATCCGGAGTGGAAGACAAGGACCGAGGGCGTTCGCAGCAGACGCATCTAAGACCAAACCCAAAGCAAATAACTTTCGTTTTCGTGATTTAAGTCGTTTAAAGAATTTGTCAATTTTTAAACTCCAACACACAACACAAATCAGCCGGCGCAGAGCAACAGTTTTAACTTGTTTTTAACGGATTGATTTGCACTCACAACAGCATTGCGTATTCTAAGCAATCGTCTAAGTTATTTAGTTTTACAAACCCACAAAAACCCAGATAAGCGAAACACAACAGTACACAAAACAAACGAAGCAGAAGCGAAACTCTTGAAATATTCAGTGTAAATAAAAGTAAACCTAGAGCTAAGCAGTTACTGATAAATGTAAACTAATCGTTAGGAGATCATCGAACGCACTCACCAAGTCGGGCGGGCATGGTGGGTGTGTTCGGCTTGAAAAGTGGTCGGCGGTTAAGCAGAAACAACAAACCCACTTGGGCTTCAAGCCAAAGTGCGCTAATGATAAAATATTAAGCTAATCTAAATATATATATATATAAACACATTTAATTATAATATATGCATACATAAACATGTAAATGCCAAGAGAGCAGTTAGCTGAAGATTTGAAATGTATTCGCACCTGCACACAAACGATATAACAACTAAACTAAACAAATCGATTATCTGTAAATTGATCAAGCTTACCCCTTAGCCTTTAGCTTAACAATTAATCAACTGGCTTTAGGCCCGTATTTCATATATTTTAAAAAGTTTATCAACTGTAAATGTATAAAGAGGAGAGGAATTCGAAGGCGAAATGTGAAAAACGATCGATCGATAAATGTATGTATATGTACTTTAGTTGCTTAGGCGTTTTCATTTCTACTTTAAACGTTAGTGGCTAATTGTAGCAATTAAAAACTTAAAAAAAACAAAACCATAAGCAAACCTAGTACGGCTATGTTCGTAAAAATGTTTATTCTAATTTCGATTTTTAATATCTATTGCGTATGTTTCACCGCAAAGCTAGAAACCAGATTCGTTCGTTAAAACTTGAAAAGAAATACAACCGAAATGTGAAGATTAACTAAGGACCGCTGAAATACAGAATATATATTCGTAAAAATGACACACATGGCATGGAGAGCCAGGAATGATCTATTGGGATCATCAGCAGATGGCGAACTTTTAACAACATGTGTGTGGGGAAACTTCCAAGCTGACTTCATTAGTTGGTGAATGAACTTGGTATTGAGATGGTAAGAGCGGACAACAAATTGATTTAAAGGAATATCACATTTTTTTAAGGACTGATATCTTTGTTTTCTTTTAAAGAACCTTTCTTTGATTTTTCTGCTAGCATGGAGCTCGGTTTTCCTGGGCGGCACTCACACTCTGAGTCGGATTAGAAAATCCGATATTGGCTTAAAAACTTTGGAGGAGCTGATCTTGATTAGAAAGACTTTGGACAGACAGGCTCTTAGGTTAAGAGGTGTGGAGATCAATCTGCATCGTGTGCTTAGCAGGGTGATACTTCTTTCCGATGGGGATGTGCAGTCACTGAGGACAACCTCCTCTAAGGAAGATCATTTAAAGGAGCTATCGCTCCTTTTCGCTGAGTTATTCAAGCGACTGGATCAAGACGAGAATCGTAAAGATCTTAATGATATAGCACAGCAAATTAGATTTAATCCCCTGGAAAGTTCTTTAAATGCATCTGCTTTGAAAGATGTTTCCAAAGAAAATGTCTTACCAAAAGTTGGTAAGAATCAGTACTTATAAATTATAATCTTTAAACTTGAACTCACCTGGCGATTCGTCTAGACTTTTACCAGCCTGCCAAATCGGATTGCTATGAACTGGATGAAGATGTTCGAGTTGATGGCGTCTATAAGTTTCTGGTTGCCGAGAGGAATGAAATCCAGCGAGATTTTTACGAGCGTTACTGCGCCTTCGCCACCGATGGTCCCGCCTGGACGGTGATCCAGAACCGAGGTGGCGCCTTCGATCCCCCCGAGAACTTTAATCGCAGTTGGGATGAGTATCGCGCGGGTTTCGGCAATCTATCCCGAGATTTTTGGTTTGGCAACGAGTTCACGCACAAGATTCTCTATCGCGATGATCATAAGCTGAGAGTGGAATTGCAGGAGGAGCAGGAGCCAATGGATTGGGCAGAGTACTCCGTGTTCCGGCTGGACAGCGAGGGCTACAACTATCAGCTTTTTGTGGAGGGAGGCTTCCGGGGCTCTCTTCCAGATGCCCTGCAGCAGCACAACCAAACGGATTTTAGCACCTACGATCGTCGTAGCGATCTTGGAACATCCGAAGATTCCACCTGTGGCGAGAGTTACGGCGGGGGATGGTGGCTCGGTCGCTGCACACCGTCCAATCTAAATGGAGAACATGGTGTCCACCAGAGATTATGTCCAGCAATCATCTGGATGAATTGGCGGAACGGAACTCTCAAACCGAAAAACTCGCGCATGATGATACGACCTGTAAGCCCGATTCCGGGTGACAACTTTGACGAGGATTAGACGGCGGTGAACTGGGAAATTTAAATAGTAATCAACAAATGGTGCTCGAAATTCTGCAATTGAACGTTACCGATAGGTGACACTGAAAATAAACGTTACCGATAGGTATCGAATCCAAAAGAACTTATAACTAGAATGTGTGGGTTTTCCTTCATTTTTGGTTAATTTTTATATTCAGACAATGAGTTTATTAACGTAGTTCTATTTTGAAACCTTTCAATTTGAGTTTATTTGAACACCATAACTATCGAATACTTATCGAATGGGAAAGAGTGAACAAAACAACAGTATAAGGACTTAGTCAGCTGATCGAAAGCCAAGTTTTGCATTACAGTAAAGCATTGCAATTATAAAAGTGCTGTTATCCTTGAGCAGGCGTGCGAAAGAGAGGGGCAATTTAAAATCTGGCGCATTACTGTCTTGCTTTTGAAATTGGTGCAGCGCTTTTATAAAAATAAAGTAATAGAAGTAACTAAGTATCAAAATTTGGTTAATGATAGGCATATTTTTTTAAATCGATTGTTCTAAGATATATTTTGTGTTGAATTGCTGTGGTATTTAGCCGATTTTCGCGACGAAGGCATAGGCATCCTTTCAATTATATATATTCTTGCTCAGAATTATCATAACGATTGTAATATATTTATTTCAGGTGTCTAATTTAAGGACAAATCGTTATTGGTTGCCTATCTAAAAAAATAAAAGTTTATTTTGAATTGGGCGCGCACAGCGCTGTTAATAGACATAACATATTGCACATAATGATGCGGATCCCAGCTTATTAGCGAAGCTCTGCACCGAGGATTGCGTCTGATCTCCAAACAGAATGCGGTTAATTTTTGGGCGGGCACACTTGGTAGTTATATTTGAATCGGGCACACTGGCAGTTTTTTCCAAACAACATTGCCGCTCGGTCGCATTATCGCATTTTATTGATTCGCAACGGCTAGAATCCTCGAGATAATTCAAATCAAGTATTGGGCAAATAGCGTGCCAATTAACTATCGCAATAAATATATCTGATTTTATAAATTTTTTATGTTAATTTAGACGCTTCTGTTTTAATTGTTTTTGCGCGGGTGTAAGTGCCTGTGTGTGTGTGAAGGATTACGGGGAATTGTAACTGTTCTGGGTGACAATGTGTGTGTGCGTGGGAAGTCAGGAAAAGCGGAAAAGTTATTAACAAAATCGTGGTGCAATAAAAGGTGAGAAATCTAAAGCTTGGACCTGCAACAATCAATATAGAAACCACCCCCCAAATCGTCCCTAAACCGGATTTCTCAGTCATCTACCAAACAAAGAAAATTGGTTGTTTTTTTTCCGGTGGTCCAATTATATTATCCGTCTAGACCGATTTTGTACTCGATTTGCAAGGGGGATGGCCAAAAATAAAACCAACATAAGAATCGGAGCAGACAAACTGTTACAAAATTGCAGCATAGGAAAAAGAAAATAAGAGGGGGGTCTTTAATTTATGCAGCTCATCTTTATTTAGCACTACTCGATTCCCTACTTGGACCCATTCATTGAGAATCGTTTTATCTTTTTATATACCACAACATACATATCTTCGAATAACAGGGGCGGTAAACCCGTTTGAGCATCTTGTGTTGTTTTTATACCCTTGCAGAGGGTATTATAATTTTGGTCAAAAGTGTGCAACGCAGTGAAGGAGACATCTCCGACCCTATAAAGTATATATATTCTTGATCAGGATCACCTCCTGAGTTGATATAGCCATGTCCGTCTGTCCGTCTGTCCGTCTGTCCGTCTGTCCGTCTGTCCGTCTGTCCGTCTGTCCGTCTGTCCGTCTGTCTGTCCGTCTGTCTGTTTCTACGCGAACTAGTCTCTCAGTTTTAAAGATATCGAATTGAAACTTTGCACACACCCTTCTTTCCTTTGCACGCAGTATATAAGTCGGAACGGCCGGGATCGGCCGACTATATCCTATAGCTGCCATATAACTGATTGATCGGAAATGCCATAACTCTGCTGTTTGTTAGGTTAGGAAGTTGGGACTTTCTAAGGGTTTTATATTTGGCCAATCAATCCGACGTACCAAATTTCATAAGGATCGGCCGACTATATCTTATAGCTGCCATATAACTGATTGATCGGAAATGCCATAACTTTGGTGTTTGTAAAGTTAGGAAGTTGGGATTTTCTATGGGTTTTATATTTGGCCAATCAATCCGACGTACCAAATTTCATAAGGAGCGTCCGACTATATCTTATAGCTGCCATATAACTGATTGATCGGAAATGCCATAACTTTGGTGTTTGTTAAGTTAGGAAGTTGGGATTTTCTATGGGTTTTATTTTTGCCTAATCAATCCGACATATCAAATTTCATAAGGATCGGCCGACTATATTCTATAACTGCCATATAAGTGAACGATTGGAAATGCCATAACTTTGGTGTTTTTAAAGTTAGGAAGTTGGGATTTTTTATGAGTATTAAGAATGCATTATGAATGATTTTGGAGAATATAATTTGCAGAATATTCTGCAAGGGTATTTCAACTTCGGCTCCGCCCGAAGTTAGCTTTCCTTTCTTGTTATTTAGTATTTTACCTCTGTTGTGCCATGCAATTCGCTTTTATTTGAGTTCTCTGCGACGCTGGGCATTGTATAATTCAATTTAAATTGATTTTTTCATTGTTGTGGTGTCCGTTTCACTTTTTTTTTCATTCTCGCGCGAGGGGCGCTTTCTATTCCACACTTTTCTTTCTGCACTTTCAAGCCCCCTTTTAATCTAACTATCTGGATTTGGGGTCTGCTGTTTGGCCAGTCTATTGGATTTTCGCACGCCTGTTATTATTACAACAGGAACGTGCTAATTGGAAGCCATTGGTCTTTGTTTATTTTACATTTACATACCCACTTAACTCTTGTATTAATTAAATATTTGTGATTCTGTTGCTTGAACAACAACAATTGTTAGTTTAAAAACAATTATTACGGATTTATTAATAGATCGAACGAGGCGAGATACCTTAAATCAAGTTTCAATCAAACTTCCATAACTTTTACTTGGCCTAAATTGAATTCGAATTGGACTAAACATATAGAAAAGTACTCTTTTCAACATGAATGATTAAAATTATATTTTTAGGGTAAAATTATACAATCTAGTTGTTATATTTTTCATATCATGACCGTAAGATATTTTTATTGTAATGAACATTAGTTTCCCAATTTATCTAAAAAGCTGAATATTAAAAGAATAGCTTAACATATTTTGAATAATTATCAATGGGTTTATAATGTTATATTTTCCATGTTTTTTGATCAGTCCCATTAATTGAATGCAATTTGTTGTTTCATCCTTAATGGTCGTTGGTTATTTCTCGAAAAAACACATTATTTTATTTTTCTCAATTCTTAGTTGCTGTAGACAGGTACTAAAACCATTCTAAGTGAGTTTTTGTTTCTTTGCGTGTCGCGGCGACGAATTTAGTTATTCGCACTAGCCGATAAAGATCTGGCTTGGCACGAACATAAACACGGGATTCCGAAACCCAAGTTCCCATGCTGTTGACTCAATCCGACTCTGTTTGCTTTTTGCTAATTTGCAATTTTTAAACATTAGGTATCGTATGTTTATCGGACATGCCGAACACATTTCCAGAATCGTTCGGTTCATTTGCATAAGTATCCCATTTCGCTGACAGAGAAAAGCTGCAGTGGTCAAAAATTCTCCTATAATCATAACAATCGATCGATCATCAAATGTAATGGCCTAAAATTTGTACCCCGCCCACGACGTCGGTGGTCAAGTGGCCAATGGAGCTGAAAATGTTTAGTGTCGGCTGGGCCCTTTGTAAATTCGAGACCTGCCAGGTTCATTGACTCCTCCAGGGTGCCAAACGACCGGGGACGATGATGATGATGATGACGACGATGACGTTGACGGAACTGCAACAGTTACAGCACCAACAAAAGCAGCACAAACCATGGCAAAACACCATCAACAGCAACAAAGCCAGTGCCACTTGCAGTCAACAGCTGGCAAAAAAATCAAAATACCTACCACAAAAACTTAAACCAATAAAAAAGGCAGGAAGGAAGGCCAAGTCCTGGTACTCTAAAACATTCAATACCCTTGCTGGTCGTTCATAAAAAGTTTTAAGGTACACAAATGTAAATCCCAATTCCACTGCAATTAAAGAAATATTTATGGTCTCAAAAAGGGTTTTTTTTGGTCCCTAAAACAAATGCTACATCCTAAGGCAATTGTGTGGAATTTCCAATTGAACTCTTCGATTTGCACGCCAAGTGTTCATAATATTTGCTTATTCCACGTGCAATCACTTTAAACTATTATAGAATCAAGGTTGATTGCATTGAGATGTAATTAAAGAATATTGGAGAACAAACAAGTTTAAAGATCTAAAACTGGTTTTCTATGCAAACAGCTTGTTAAAATATTAGATAATCGTGATTAAAAATGAGTTGTTAAAATCCATATATACCCGTTAGGAAGAGTATTAACCAAAACAAAACCGAAATTGCGGCTAAACGAAATGAAACGAGATTTCAATGCAGGAATTTCCATTACAAATGTTGCGGTTGTTAATGTTATTGTTGCTGTCAGTGAAGCCTGGTTGGTTGGCTTTTGTCAACTGTCGTTTGGGGCAATTGGGCCTGTGTCTAGCTATGGGATGTGCCCGAGATTGTGGCCAAATCGGAGGATTGGTAGTCTAGGAACGAGCTCTCAACGGCAACTGGCAATTTGACAAACGCTACACGCACTTGGCCAGAATCGTTATTCCACTGGAACCGGCACGTTGCACGTTTGGGCCGAGTGCAGAACTCAAATGTCGCTTTGGCTTCGAGTGCTGCCAACAGGCCAGGATGGGATGCAATTGACCCGAAAACAAAGTGGGCAAGTGGTGGAAAGGAACCAAACGGCACTGTGCACAGGCCGCAGAAACTCGTTCGAGTTGATTTGGCATCTTTGTTGTATTCATCTTGTGGTTCAATGAGTCAGCCCCGCAGTCCGGTCCGCATTTTCGATGCTTGACAACGTTCCGCCTTTCACCCGGTCCTTCCCTTCTGACCCTCTTGGTTCCGAATCTCTGCCCTCCATCGGTTTGGATGCCAGATGCCCATTTGCCAGGCCGTAAATGCGGTGGGGAAAGCAAAGACCAGGAGATGGGGCGATAATACAAGGGTCCGGGGAGTACGATAACCAGATGCTCTGATCCGCTCAGAATTAAACTTTTATAGGGGGTTGGGAAAGTTATCAATATACACAGCGAATTAAAACTTGACGGACGTCTGTCTGCAGTTTAAACTTTACGAATTAAAACAAAAACATGTCAGCATTATAAAAGTTACCATGACAGGTTGTAATTAAATTGTTTAATTTGTACTGAGGGCATAAAAAATGTTTTACAATAATGTTGGCATTTCATTAGTACACGTATCGCGATTAAAATTGTAATTTTTTAAACTTTGAGGTACTTTTTCGGAAAACATACAAGCTATATTCGCCTCAGCATTAAGATAAATTATATCTATAAAAAAGTATATTTTCATTATTGATTAATTTTGTTGTAACCCAGTGTTATCAAACATATTGCATTTGTAAAAAAATATGAACTAGAATACAAACACGGAAACACACTAAACAAATATTAAATAGAACAAACAAAGATATTGCAAAATTGATGAATAGTTACTGCCAAAGATGTAAGAAAGAGATAGATAGATAGCTAATCTAGCCACATTTCTAAAATTCAAATATTTGTGCAAGTAAAGATATGCAAAGTCACAACAGTGAATATATTTGTGCAAGTAAAGATATGCAAAGTCACAACACTGAATATAGTATTTTAAACAAATACAGAAACTAAATACCAATATCACCATTTTAATTTATTGCTTGATCGTATTGAAAATAATGAACTTACTCGAATGTGTAGGGTATAACTAGTTATCTATAATATCGTACAGACTTTGATCCAGACTCCGGGCTTCCCATTCTAATTTGCGCCTTCCTGCCAATGCCTTCACTTGCACTTGCCCCATCCATGTGGCCATCATCATAATTATCATCTGCGTCTTTGTGGCACATCTTCGCTGTCGTTTGTCGGTCGTCGCCGTCTCATTTGCGTGGGCTTAACAACAAACAGAAGACAACAGAGCCAACAACTTTTTCAAGGGCCTGTGCCAATTCTCGAATGCTCTCTTTCCGTCT